AGGGGCTCCTGGCCTTACTACTAGTAACAAGAAGCTACTAGGAGCAAAGGGCATCGCTACTAGGAGCAAGGACGCTACTAGAAACTCCTGGCCTTACTACTAGTAACAAGAAGCTACTAGGAGCAAAGGGCATCGCTAGTAGGAGCAAGGACGCTACTAGGGGCTCTTGGCCTTGCTGCTAGTAACAAGAAGCTACTAGGAGCAAAGGGCATCGCTACTAGGAACAAGGACGCTACTGGGGTCTCCTGGCCTTACTACTAGTAACAAGAAGCTATTAGGAACAAAGGGCATCGCCACGTTTGTAGCTCCTGCAGCTAGTAGTAATGCCCTTGTTAGTAATGTTACTAGTAGCGATGCACCTACCGGGTCGCGGTCGATTTTGGTCCAACGTTTGGGCGACGTCGAACCAGTGACGCGTTCGAACCTGCATCGATGGACCTGTGTCTTTGAAATCCAGCCCGGCAGCCCGTTTTGGGTCTGATAGTGCTTTCTTCCAATCTGGTAAGTCTCCAACTATTGAGCCCCTCGGCATCTTCTCTCGCACTTTCACTACATCCTACGGCAATCGCTGCCGACGTAAAGATCTTGACAATCCATGCATCTATTCTTGTAATCTGTACCATCTGCCGCTTGATTGATTAATTTGATCAAACACAATTTGAGATTAAAAACATCTGCCCAGCCATACAGGCCATACATATTTGAGAGAAGTCTAATTCCCGTCTGCTAACCGCTAGTGGGATTCGAATGGATTAGCTTTCCCATGGTTCCCATCGCTGACTTCCGCCACTTCACCTCCTCATCGGAGCTCTTTGGGCGTAGGAGCTCAGCTTCCGGTACCATCGCAGGTGTGGAGAACTGAGTAGTAAGGTCAGGTGGAGATTTCGGAGTGGCAGAGCCTAATTGCTAAGATCAAAAGACATACTGGACCGGAGAACATATTTCTGGCAGTTCGGCGACAGGGAACCCCTTTTCCATGGACATCAGGCATACAAACATGGATCATTTCGAGCAGCTGCTGCTTAAAGAACCGAAAAACCAAATACGATTTAGGCCACCATGACAACCATAGCGCCCACCCAGGATGGAGGCCATCACTAGAAGGTTGGAGGCTATCGCTGGTACGTTGGAGGCCATTGCTATTAGAAACAAAGGGAAAAAAGATGTATAGTGACAGACACATACTTAGAATTTACATGAACTTACTCCTTTTTTCCAAACGAACCGGACCGCTTACTTAGAACCTACTCACGGGGCGTATCTGTCTGTCTCTATAGGCGCTATTAGCATTGGAGACACGACCGACGACCGGCGACCTTCGCCCTCCAGGCGCGGCCAGTGGAGAAACAATAGTGGAGAAACAATCAGGCCATCTGAAGGAGTGGAATATCACATGCAAATCAACCACCTGGACGGCCAAAGTTTGGCAAGATTTGGGATTGGCACCCACGACTCGCTGATCGAACTTTCCCATATCGACACATGACAGTCTATACATTCCAATACTTTCCCGGCATGGGTCGAACTTGTGTGCTTTGAACCAAGAACAACTGCCCCGGAAAGAAATGGGACCTTGCCGGGACAAGCTCAAATGGTTCCACTTGCGGTTGCCTTTGTGAACGTTCTCCAAATAATGGCAACACATGGCGGTCCTAACCTTTCCAACAGGCGGTCCTTCATATCTGAACGACGGCTCGCACGCCCTCTTTTCTGCCCAAAGGCCCGGGGGGTTGCTTTGGCCACCGCATTGCTTGGATGTCCAGCCATGGTCAAAGAACGCTTCTCGGGTTCCAGGTTGGATGTTTCTGTGGCGGGTCGTGAACTCTTGGGTGATGCTTTCACCGGTTTTACCCAAATTATGGTATTTAAATATTTAAATGTATATTTAATGATCAGGGAGGTTTGACCATGCCATTCGTCGGCTTTCTGGGATTTCTGGGGCAAGGCGCCAAGATCTGGCCTCTGGTCCATTGAATCACGACGAGATTTTGAGCAGCAAAGCAACATAAACCCTCATGCTGCCCTGACGGTTCCTATGCTCCGAGTGCCAGCTGCTAGATCTTGCCTCCCACAGCTTTGCCAACTCAGCTTGGCTGAGTTTGGCTCTCATTAGCCATGCGCCGGGCAGTGCTACTCTCAAGCGCACCCAGAACTCCAACCACTGTTGTAGAAGCGGGACCCAAGAAAGCATGGCATGGACCGTGACCCTCCAGTCCGAACAGAAAGGATCCCCCAAAATATGAATACATATACATTGACATCCATACAAATCTTGATTGGAACGCCTTCTGACCTTCCGGGGGTCGTTGGTCATTTGGGACAATGGATTCTAAATATTTTATACGTATAACCGTATATAGAAGTAGATGTTTCATGATCTTTAAACCATTTGTCTCTTTTTGTGCGATGAGTCGCAGGTCAACCTTTGAGTTTCTCAACGAAACGAAAAACCTCTGATCCGCACAAAGTCTGTATCATGTGATCTTGAACGAAGAAATGCCTCCGGCGGGTCGTTTCTAGTCCAACACGTGTCGACATGTCTATTCGTCCAGTTGCCGCTACTTGCTTCTGATCGGCACCCGTAACACATGTTTCATGACTTGCGAGCACGAGTGATTTTGAACAACATGCTGCCATCGCAAATAGTGATTGTAGTTGTCTCTGCAGGGCACTCAACGCACAACCTCCTTGCTCATTGCTTCAGAAGGAGGAGAAACTTCTTGATCTGCCTATAAGGCCTCGCACTTGCTCCAGCAGACATGGTGCTGGTACTGGCGATCCGTCCCGAACATATTCTAGTAGTTGAACAAGATTTTATATATATATATATGTTTAGAAGCTAGTCACGTCTGGAAGGACAACACAAATTCAACAAGAGTTCTACACCGTATTGCTGCGAAATGTTTGTTGCTAAAAAACACTTCAATGCCAATTCCTTGTGGCTGTGACCCAAGAAGCTCGCTAAAGAATACAAAATGAATCTGTTTTCATCCAGGCCTTTCCGTTCGCCATTTCAACCGGATTGTGCCTGCAACGCCACCTCTCCGGAAGGAGACACTTCCTGCTGAGCCGCCCGTCCCTGAAGAGCGACGCGAGTCTGGGCGCACCTGTGCGCAGCCGGGATCAAAAAAAAACATTGCTAAATCATGCTAAATGGAACCTGACTTTTTCTCTAGAAAAATCTCAGTTTGAGATGAGCTTGGATGCTTTTCCACAGTGTTCTTCTTGTTCTGCGGCTTTTTGTTTGCCAAAATGGATGGAACCCCAACCGTCCCCAAACCAAATGAATTCCAACCAATAGGCTTCTGGGTGAACCCCTCTCCACATCTGAGTCGAACCGATGTTGGTTCGACTCGGAGTGACCGAACGGACAATATCCATCGGTTGGTTTGATCACCCGCTCCGGCCCTCCAAAGCTGGGTCACTGGATTGGACTCAAAAGTTCCGTGACCGAACGGCTGGGGAAGAAGCTGGGATTTCAAAGGAGACAGCTGAGATGCTGAAGCTGGTTCGACCTGTTTGGAATGGTGACTTCTTTGCTTTGTAATTCTAAAGGGCCATTCCTAGGATCTCTCCAAACCTTGAGGTGTTCGTCCCGACTCCTGGCTGCATGAGGCTCAGGGGAGTATAAGGCTGAGAAAAGCGGTCTACTTGGGTGAAATTGAAAGACCCCCGACATGCTCTTTCACCACCAGCAAGTTTAAAGGAAAATGCCCAGGGACAATCTGAGCCTTGTCAGTCACCATTGGCACACGAAGTCGTTGGCTCGGCTGCAGCTGCGAATCTATATGGAACATTTGGCGAAGGACCTGACATCTTGCGGGTCAATGGCATCGTCGAGGGCACCCAGCCACAAATCTCTGCAACAAAATGTACAGAAATCAGACAGCGCTAACCTCTGGATGTCGTTTGAACTACGCTCACCTATATAAGTTGAACTGCTTTCACAATAAGCTCAAAGAAGTCCAGTTTCAAGTTAACTTTCCCAAAGGGTAGGTGCAGAAACTGACCTGGACCATCAAGAATGACCTGTGATCACCAAACATGGAAAACACCACTCAAAATATTCAATATAGAACTGGTGAACGACTACAGTCTAAGAGATTAGATGTTTACTGCTCTCCTTCTACTCAATCTTGTCCCTCTCTCCTCATCCCGAAGGCCGAGTTGTCTTGCTCATGGCTGAATCCTTTCACACATTGCACCAGGAAAAGGACATGTTCCAACAGGAAATCAACCACCACCTGGACTGGCAAAAAATAACAGAAGCGCACCCATGCACATCAGGCATATTCGGGCAGGATGAGAGTTACGCCAGTTACGCAAGTGGTTGAGGTTGAACATGAGCAGGGTGGATCAGATATTCAGCTGGGTCACATGGATCCAAACCTGCACGTGGCCAGAAACTCAGTGGTGGTGTCAACACTCCAAGTGGACCAAAACAAGAATTGAAGCTGCTGATCTCTTCAAGGCCGAAAGGTTGTTCCACTGACTCCAGCCCCCCTGCCACCATGCCACTGGGAAGTATCCACCAAAAAGCTCTGTGAGATGAGGGCCATTACCACCTGAGTCGATCGATTCCAAGCACGCACCGGAAAGTGGGACTGGCCAACCAGTCTTCGTCTACGCCAGTGCTGAGATACCCGGTAGCGCAGGTCTGTAAGCACATGCTTGCACGTCAGAAATTTTGGCCCTGACAGTGCTTGTGGGTCTAACATGGATCGCCAATCGAAAGGCAGACATCGCCAAGTTTGGTAGCGCCCATGTCTGGTCTGCTTTGGAAATGCATAGGTCTCAGGTCTCTACTGAGGAACTACTCAGCCGCTTCGTGTTCCTGTTCCTGCATGCTCATGTCTTGGGACTAGCTGGAATTCCCGAAGCAGCTTCTTCTCATGCTTCATGAGTCTGAATTCATGGAACTAACTGGAATTCTCTCGATTGTGCTCGTGTCTGGTACATCTGGAGGGGGCCATCCGTGGCATGCTTGCCGGGCTTTTCCAGGCAGTGGATGATCCCTAAAGCCAAGGCCCAAGCTAAGATTTGTAGCATGGCAAGGCCACAGCGTCCTAACCCACGGCATGTCTTTGGTGGGCCGCTATCTGCTATATACTTCCATGTGTTAATTGACTTGACTCGCTCAGTTTGATTCCCTGACTGGTGGACTCGTTTCCAACAGTGCAGGAATCCGCAACACGATAGAACTCAGCCTTTTATAACAAGGGATTCTACACCTGTTGGAGTTTGTGGATGTGCAGTTCTGACCGGCCAACACCGCATTTTCCAAGGATCTCCAAAGCGTAAAGTAGGCAGGAAAGTTCCTGTCCTCCCCCTCCTGCATTGCTAAAATGAAAGCACCGCTGTCACAAACAAACCACACGACGTGCCCACACGACGTAAGTGGCAGGACGTCTTTTCTCGATGTTTCTCGTTCGCACCGACCAAGCCGAGCCGTCTAAGCGCGTCCCGACGGTGGTCCCGACGGTGGAGACTGGTTTCACTGCGACCTGTCCGTCCGTAACACTGATTTATGAGACACTAGAGGTTTTTCTGTTCCGTGCGTTACATCCTGGCAACCGCAAACAAACACATCTTTGCAACATACAGGTTCCCTTGGCAAATGTGGTGAGGCCAGGATGAGCCATCAAAGCAAACCATCTTCTGAAGATGCGGTTGTTGAGCAATTGTGGCTTTTGCATGCTTTTGGGGGCAACAGCCTCGTCTAGAAACATGCATGGTTTTCTTTGAGAACAATCTTGAATCCTTTGGTTTTTGGTTCAGCCAAGGCGTTGCCATCAACCAGCCTCAGGTTAGATGATCCTAGTACGGGTCAAAACTGAAGACTGCCACATGAAACTGGGCTCTAAGTTCTAGCTGCTGAAAACGAGAGGAAGAACACCGCCGCTGCGCTTTCGTTCTTTTCGCGCCGAGCCGCTCGCGCCGCTCGCCGCTCGCCTTCCAAAGTCTTAAAATCTCCCGTGATATTTCGCTGGGAGATTCTCGGTCCGCGGCCGCGAAGCGCCAGTATAGACCAAGGATGACGCCTGTCACAGCCAAAACGGAGGGGCCCGGCCCAAAGCACAAAACCATGACCGGTTTTAAAAGAGGGTTGAAGAGCCCAAAACTCTTCAGACATGGTGGTTTGATCACATCTGGTCATGTGGTCGGATATTCCAACTTGTGAACCGTCCTGGGCCATGCTGCTGAAGCTGGTTTAATTGCAACAAACTGAGCACGGTTAGATTGAAAGGAGAAACTCTATATATATATATAATATATATACAAATATATATATATATATCAGTCATGTGACAACATTATATCAATATAATATAGATCCCGGGCACTCGGTGGCAGCACGTGTGCGCTAGTCTCAAATACCCTTTTTCCACCGGAACGTGCATGTGAGCTGAACTCAACTAAACTCTCGTTGTCGTGACCAATCGTGATCAAACACACCGGCACCAAGGCTGGCTCCCAAGGTCTGAACAAGCAACTGCAAGTCATGCAAGAAACAAAAACATGCAATTCGGTTGAGCACATCCATTCACAAGGGCACCGTGCATGCAACAAACAATTGTAAAAACAGGTAGTAGCCTGACACCAAACAAATACAATCAACTAGCTCACCTGAACACGAACTCCACACAAAACTGACCCTGCCTACCACCCGCTGCTTCTCGCAAATCCCATTGGGATGGCATGCCACGCAGCATGAAAAACTTCCTTGAAGGAGCTCCAAACTTCGAGCCGCTATACCTGGGAGGAAGAACCTGCTTCCGTGCCCGATAACCACTTCCGCACGCGGGACCGCTGGACGGAATTCCGAGGGATTGAACGTCGTCAGTGAAACACCGAACCGTTCTCGTTGCAGGAACCAACGAGAAATATTCTGTGAAAGGAGGGTTATGAGGGTGCTGAATGGAACTGATGGGCACTGCCGCTCGAAGAAAACAATGTCCAATCTGCGTCGATCCATGCTACCCAAGCCTGTTGCAAATCAACCAAATGGAGTTGGTTTAAAAAACAAGTTCTCGCGGGTGATGTTGATGTCTATGGGCATTGGAAACTTGTGGCCAACGGTGAGCTTATCTGTGGAGTGGGGCAAACAAAAGTTACTACCAGCATTTTATCGGCGCAGAAGCATGCACCTGCGCTTGTTGGGGCGACTGTTGGTCACGCTGGGCATGGCATGTGGGGCTGAATGGTTGGGTCCAGCATCACAACCCTGACGACATACCCGCCGACGAAGACTGCCAGCATGTCATCCAGGGAGCCGGTATCAAAGGATTGTTGCTCCAATTGGCGACAAGACGATTTGAAAACATACACCTGCAGGACTGCAGACAAATAATTGCAGCAAAAGGACTTGAAACACACATATGCTCACCAACTGGCAAATGGGGTGTGACTTCCGACCAGTCAAAAGTATGGACCAGGGTTCCCAGCATCTTGGATCCATTCGAGCGACATCCTTTGATCATTCCTTTGAGCATGTGGCAACAGGCAAACCCTCCAGTCTCCCCTTGAGCACTAGGCAACTCGCAGGGACATTTGCAATCTTCAATCCTGGAACTACCAACACCGATAATTACTGAGCGAACCAGCAAGGAGGAAAGGGAGTTTTTGTTTTTTGGCTGTTGCACTTCAAATCAGCAGGATATGCAGGGTATGTTGTATCCTGGGTTGGGGAAATTGAGAGCAAACATGACAAGCAGTTCGATTGCGTCACCAAGGAAACTGCAACTTAGTAACGAGGGGTGTTTAAAACATAGACGATACAAACTGTTTAACCCTTGAGACATGAGAATAGGAACATGGACTCTGTGTCTTATATGTTTGTAATCAAGAGTCAACATTACGGCTGCTCGGAACCTGCCTGATGCTCCACATCCAGGCATTGACCTCAAACGGCCCGCTTTCCATCCAGGAAAGCGTTTGCGAGATACTTGCTGCTGAGGGACAGCTCATAAAGCACAAGCGTTCCAGCGTGGTCCAGCAGCGGCTGTCCACGGTGGCCTCCGACTTCAAGGTCACACCTGTCGCTGAGAAGAATCATGGGTCAAAGGCAAAAAACACCTTCAATGGCATTTCAACGTCCAGTTCACTGCCTCCAAAGGTTTCAACGAACGTTCTTTGCGTGAGGCACAGCATCGTCGAGAAACAAGTGCAAAAGCTGGCCATACCTTGGAGAGTTTGGGCGCTGGCGCCGGTCCGCGAGATCCATAGGAGCCGCAAGGACTGGGTACAGGACTGGGTTAGCTTGCGTACAAAGCAAAGGTGGCCACGAAAACCAAACATTCTCGGCCCATCTGGGTCCTGGATCTTCATTTGTCCAAGCTAGACCTGCATTTGTCTAGGCATTGAAGTGCACGTTTATGGTCGATTCGGTAGGAAACTGGGCAGCTTTTATCCAACTCCTCCTCTTCTAAACTTACCAAGTGGGTAGACGGAAGTGCCGAGCACATTTTGGCTTATATGGATCGCCAGGATCGGTTTCAAACATGTTCGCACCGCGCTGCCGTCGCCTCCCAAAGGTCCTTCCGAACGAGCCATCCGGCCATATCATGTACTACATGACGCCCATGCCCTGCGAAACCCAACAAAAATAACTACAACGATTTAAAACTGACACATGCGGGGGTCCTGAATTAAATTTGTCACCTTTTCTTGCTGGCTCCATCCTCCCAACAACGCCAGTGTGAAGCACCTCTGTCCCAAGGTGCAGTTGATTGCACTTTGGCGCTGCATGCTGTTGCGCCTGACATGCCAAGAAAACATAACCCTTTGTGCCCTATCCAGGATAGTTTCTTGCCTTCCAATTCGCCATCTCTTCATGACTTCCAAAAGGAGCAAACTCATCGGTCACATCTTCCTCAGCTGGGCACTGCGGAATGCAGCAGGGCGCCGTCCAAATCCATGCACATCTGGTACCTCATGGCCGAGGTAACGGGGTCACTCCGAACGGGCAGACCATCGAGTCCGGACGCCGGACCCGCACAGGTCTCCTCCGTTTTTGTTGGGAGAAGAACTTTGGGTCAACTTGGTGGGGGCAGCTACATTCCTCACTGATTTCCTATGGCACTATGGGTATAGGCTAATGCCAGTTTCTCGCAGCAATGTTGCCGAGGTGTAATTCCATGTTCTCCTTGACACTCACGAGGTTCACTTCACTAAGCTCATTCGCTCTGGAAAGACTGGAAGTTCAGGTCTCTTTCAATAACCAAGCATCCGTTGCGCCTGATAACTGATAAATATTCAATACCTAAGCGGTTGTCCTTTCTTTCCTGTACTTTCGGTACTTTTCTTCTGTGTTCTTCCGAACTCCCTTCCTTTTGTCCCCTATATATATATAACAAAAAACAGTGCATCTGCTTCCCCCCCCAAAAAAAAGAAACCGTCAAAGGTGCGTGTGGAATCGTGGGGAGGGAATGTGCCTTCCAAAGCTATGCCAGGCTGGCAATGTCATCCGTCTCGCCACACCGATTCCCCGGGGGCGGTTCTCTCAATTCGCCTCTAGCCATCAGCTGATCAATCGCTTGCAGGGCGCTTGCGTGCCTGAGTGGAGTCGAAAGCGGTTCCGATGAATGGTGTTGAAAACACACATGAGACCGCCGGGTCAAAGTGAAAATCGAAGTACAACGACTTCAGTTGTTTGAAGTGAGTGAAGTTCCATATGTTCCATGAAGGATCCCCTCTTCAAAATGTTCCAACGCTGCTTTCATTTACATAGATATAGGCTTGACTTCCCAGGTGATGATTTCGTCAGGTCATAAAGGGTCTGTTACAAACAAATGTGCTTGCTCGATGGGGGGTGGCGCCATTCACCCTGAACCCACTGCAATTGTGTTTTGAGGCATGCCGTTGCTTAAGGGCATTACGACAGTATGCATACATTATAACGAGCAGCTGGATGATGCAACCCTAAACCCTAAAACCCTAGACCCTAAACACCCACGATAGTTCTAGACAAACTATACATTGGCATATGTCAAGCAACATGCACACACACACATATATATATATATACCCTGACCTTCCAACGCCTCTAGTAAACCTGTGCATAGCGTAATGTCGAAGTTTACTATGGACAATGTGGTTCGTCTATGATTTACTGGCTCTTACTTTTTTGTGGTTCTTGGAGTCCACCAAAAAGTTCTCACTCGACCCGACCACCACCCCAAGATGCCCGAGAATCACACAAATGTGTGCTTTGTTTTTCTCAAGCAAATGACACGTAACTATGCGACCCTTTTCGCCTCTCTTTTTGTATTTCGGACTATTGTGCAATAATGATTTCACTTCTACTGGCAGAATCACGTTCTTTGACTACTGAGACCCTTTTATGAGCCGTTGGAATCTCGAACTCTGGTGAGATCAGTAAAGCTCAGGCGGCTTCTTGCGCCAGACCATTTCACAACCATTCCAACTTGTTGGTTCTGGAGGGGTCACAGTTCACGGGTTCTTCACGGGTATCCATGGACATTCACGGGTAAAGATGTACATTCACGCCTATTTCACGGTGTTTCACGCTCACTGGTTTTGGTGGTGCCCAGCAAACACAACCAATGTTCATATGAACTCACAAAAAATCACCTACTTTCCTAGCACTGTCTCACACCACACCCCAGTTTATGTTATAACCCGAGCTTTACATACAACTTGAATTGCCGCTTGGATAACTACAAGCGGTCCACATGAATTTGAAGGCTGCAAATCCTCTCTTGAAAAGGGATCTAGAGCAGCTTGCGTTGAAACAAACCCTTATGGCCCCCAACAGTAAGTGTGAATCATTGATCTTTATGTTGCATCAGCCCCATGGTTTGGATGTGTTTCTTGGATTGGAGCCAGCTGAGTGCCAAGTGGCGAGTAAAGTCTGTACATTGCGTAATGTCGCTATTTAACCAGGTGATCTATAGACAAGAACAACGTCGACGTTTACTATAGACATTGAAGATTAGGGATGATTAGGGTATATAATATATATATATATACATAGTCATCAAGCCGTCAGGTGACCTCACTCATGGCAAACCCACTGATGATTTCGGGAAAGCCTAGCAATAACATGCAATAACAGCATATTACTCATATTTCCTTTGGATCTACTTTAGATACGATTTCACCCACCGAGTGTAAAATGAATTAACATGCAACATCTTACACCACCTGTGCCGAAACTTGAGGAGCTCTCTCTTCTACCAACGCATGGAGATCCGGGGGCCGACACCTTTCGTCGCAGATCGCCTGCACTGGACACCATCTCGGACCTCCGGTTGCCCTTTGGGAACGTCCAAACACCAAAGGCCAACGTTGACAGACACTGAGAACATCTGAGAACACACAAATGGATTGCCCTTGATTTGAAGGGTGACTCAGTGCCGAAACGGGATATCAAACACACTCACACACGCAGTTCAGTTCACGGTCCCCAAGCTGAAGCCCACGTTGCAGTTCATGTCGATCGCCATTGGATATATCCATGCTCAACAGCAGCACGCCTGAACACAGGTCAGGCGATCACATGTCGATCTGCCGGACACAGTCAGGTCGACGGTCTGGTCACGTCGATCTGCGCATGCGAACGAAGAGTTTGCTTTCTTGAAGGACCATGCTAAATCCACTTGGTATGAGGTTCGTTGGGTGTGGACTTTGAATGTTTCACACTGCTTGGCATGTTCAACTGCAAATCGTAAATCCATTTTACATGAAAGGCGTTAGTGTTATAGATGGGGGAGTCCACTATAGACTATAGTCCATTCCTGTGGAATGTCCCAGTATCAAACCGAAGTGTGGTGCCAGTCTACAGATCAATCACGAAGGGCAAGCTTCCCAGGCACATGTGGTATCCAAATGTGAGAAGTGTTGTGGAGGAAGCAAGTCCCAGTGTGACCACTTTGGCACGAGTGTGTTTGAGGAGTAAACGTCCGCGTTTTCGGGTTTGTTGGCTCATTCTTTGGCAATTGCAAGGCACGGTGTAGGACTGACCAAACACGTCAGTCTCTCCAGGCATGAAAACCCAATTTCTTCTTGTGCTTGTGGTTGTGTGTGGTCCGGGAACAGTGATTTGCGAAAGCCTGGTGAAGGGTGGTTCACCTGGAGTAGGTTCCGCCGCAGCCTCGAAAACCAAGCACAACTTGAATCAACTTGACGGTTGTGCAGAACTTGGCCTTTGCTGCCTGAAAAGTTGTGCAAGGCGCTCGGTGCTTTCTCAGCAAAAGAAGGTTTTGTTGAGGGGAACCGGCGTCTCGGGTCCTGCTTCTCATCCCCAAAAGAAACATTGCAAAAGATTGGTTGCGTTCTGCAATTGTTCATGTTTCGGTCTTGCTCTGGGTCCCATTTGACAAACCCTTTTGCACGTGTTTGCAGATCGCTGAAGTATTCCTAGCATCTGCATCTGGTTGCCCATCATTTAGCTGAAAGCCTTTGTGTTCTGTCGGGCTCCATTCCCTATTCAATATGTTTCAAGATTCTGCAGGGCGCTTCTATCTTTCTGTGTCTGACACCTCTATACAATCCCATGCTTGTGATGTTTTCTATGGATCGTTCTTATACTTTCCTGAGGAGGACATCTGACCTTGTCTTGAATTCCATGTCCAAGTTGGCGTAAAATGATCTCAAACACAGAATCAAAGAAAGGAATAACAAACTGGGGTATTCATCGGGGGTCCCAGCACATGTGGGGATGATGCACACGGGGCTAAACATAACGATGCATCAACCATCTGTCCTTCCGTCTTGTACTTCAACATTCCATCCTCCACGCTGTCCACGCCTCAAAAGGCAAATAAAGCAGCAATTGAACAATAAAAAACGCTGGCAAAACAGCATGTGTGATACAAAGTGATTCGACCGCGAAAAAGCGCAAGAAAATAAAGGTCCAGGGATTCAACAAAAAGAACATCACTTTGTGGAATCCAACCGTGCCAAACATCAATACCGGTGGGCCAAACCTGACGAAACTATGGCAACTATGGGATCCACACGTTTAGATATGTTTAGATCATGTTTTCCATCCCATTCATGCATTTTGGGGCACCAGGTGCTGTCATCCACACCCATCATAATCACCATGACCCTCTGACCCGATTTCTGCCATTCAGCATTGATGACAGCCGTTGTCCCGCAGCTCTTCATAGTACATGAGCCTTGGAAACCTCAGTCGGGCAGTCCAGGCGTAGTTAATCACCAGGATCAGTTGGACACAATAATTCTGATAAAAATTGAGTGAACTTCAACAATCCATCCCCGCCAATTTGACCAAGTGTCTGTTTGAAGTCCTCGATGCTGATGAGGCAAAGGGGAAAACTGAAGTTGCTCAAAGCATCCTTGGCAGTGAAAAACCCGGCAAAAGCAATATGAAAATGACACGCAAATCACGAGAACTCACATGGCGCAATACATATGCAATCTTGCTTAAATAGAGAACATGTTGCGTCCACAATCACACACACACAGATATATATATATATAACATGTCAAACATCCATCCAACTTGTCATTTCTGCATATCAATAAAATCGCCCGATGTCCTCGGCGGAACTGGGCTTCGTGGAAAGCAACGAGCCCAGAGCCGAGGAGCGAGCGATGCCATGATGGCCTTGGTGATGGAATCTTGCCTCGGGTGATGGACGCCCGGCACGTGATTCGGCGTCTGACACAGGAAACAACCAGTCGTGAGCCGTGAGAATCACATGATCGAGATATGATTCAACTCAACAACATACTCAGGAAACAAGCAAACCCTGGCTTAAGGGATGGGAACAAAGGCAAGTTCGACTCAGGTTGACGAACAAGAGAGCTCAATATGTCAACATATCCCTCTCACATGCCCACGTTTGACATCTACACGTTCAATAAGGGCCTTTGGTGCTGTTTGGGGCGGCGCAATGTTCCAGTTTCAAAGCTTTGTCAAACTCAGGGCCTATAGCGCTCCAACTGCTCGATTTCCTTGGCCCGCTTGCAAAAAGCTGCAAAGGCCTTGGGCGGAAAAATCCCAGCACGCGAACAGGAAACCACTCCCAGTAGTAGGAAGGGGATTTCCTACCGGGGAGCGAGCAGGATTGGCCTTGAACCGAAGCTATGTAGGACACTACTGGTTGGGTTCATCGGTTATAGCATTTGCACAAGGAGCATTGATAGTGAAGTCACTACACATTTGATCGGGCATGTAGTCCAGTTCGCACGTCGTATAGTCCAGTCAGTCCATCATAGTCCACCTCGCATGCAAACAACTCATCAAAAGCTTCAGGCATCAGTTGTGTGTAGTTACTTACGTAGGGTTACGTAGTCCCTTCAACGTATTTCAGAAAACACTGCCCAATGCAAAGTGTTCAATGTCGGAATGCAGTTGCTGTTTGCCTTTGCCTTTTAGTTACCCCGTCGACTTTTGACTTTCTCTTTGGGTTTATCAAGGGTACCCTACTAGAATAGCTTCCAATCGTGCCGCCGCACCAGTGACACGTTGCATGAAAACACGCCGCATGACACGTGTCAATCGGTTGCCCGTTCTCCGATGACCCGGAGCCATGGCATAAACGGGCTCACCAAACGGCATGGCACAGCGGCATACAGCGGCGACATCACCTGCGCCTGTTGATGTCGGTTAGTCTGATCGAAACACTACATACAAGCAACGAAATATATATATATATATTGTAATATATTAATATACGTCAATTTATATCTGCAATATCAGTTTGTGTTGTAAAGGATCAACATGGATCAACCCTTGGATTTGGATTTTCTCGATACGAGTTTGTATCGACGTGTCCTAGGTGACTTTTCGGTTTTGAAGCTCTTTCCAGGTTTCTATTTGGAGGTTCCCTATTAGAATTATATCAAACAACTTTTCTTGTTTATTCTTTTTCGGGGCAGGTCGTGTTTTGGTTCAAGGAATTACCTATCGATACAGCCGGGCAGGAGTCGTAACACGGGAAGTAAGTAGGCTGTGTCTCTGGCATTTGGATCCAACCCCCCAAACTCCAAACAAATCTCTCTCTGTAACAATGTGACGCAGGTTGATCTCCATAAACATCTGCCAAAAACAAAGTTGGGCGACCCAGTTGTTCTATGTTTTTCTCTGCGGCCTGTGCGGATTGCTTTTCGTGTAGGAGCTGTGGAAGGGGGAAGGGAATCACTCCCCACCAGCCAGCCATAACAACGTAGAACAACCATGACAGCATATTTGACAACTCAAGTGTTTCCCTTCCATGCTGTATTTTTTTGGTTCCAGTTGGATCTGGCAAAAACGGCTCCAAGCGGCATGGATGCACAAGAAAATGCTTAGCAAAGCTCTGCAAAGATCGAGCAGAAGGTGGCTCCAGAATTCCTGGAAGGATACCTTCGGGCGATCCAAATATCCCACTCTGACGGCCAAATCCAAACTGGATGTGCAAGATTTGGTGAATGGAGCCAACCATGGTGTGCCGTTCCCACATTCTTGCGGACCGGTAGCATGAATATATAGCATGAACTGCACAAACAAGAGATCTAAAGAGGCGGGAACGAAAGCGAGAGGAACCACAAAAATGCGCGGTTCGGGCGATGCGGATCGAGATAAGAGTATAGCTTCTTGTTCCTAGTAGCGATGCCAGGAGCCCCTAGTAGCGTCCTTGCTCCTAGTAGTCGAAGCTTTGCTCCCGCAACCTTTGCTTTGCTACGCTTGTTCCAATAACTACAATTCAAATGATGATGCTTGTGATGTGTGTATGCCCTTTGATGCAGGTGCAAGGTGGGTCGGGGGCGATATGTCAATTCGATCCCTTGCAACTATCAATTCTAATTCTAACCCTCACCCTGTGAATGAGAACTTCAGCAAACATCCTCCATCCTTTGGAGCTGGCTTCTGTGACATACGGTAGATCGATGCACATGATATGGCTAATTATTTCTGGTGTGTTTTCCACAGGATCCTGCCTGTTGGCTTTCCCAGCAGGAGCAATCAAAACGATCTCCGTACATGATGGACCCCGAAACAAATGATAATCAGCATGCAGGGAAGATTGCAAATAATGTAAATTGTATACTGTATAGTTCATACACCACGCGCAGCGCGTGGTGTATTAATTTATATATACATTGTACGACAACTCCTCACTTCACCACTTCGCCTGCCATCCATTCATTGGAGCCAGCAGCAAAACCCAATCCTTGGGTCAGCTGGGAGGAATCATGTGGGCTCTGCAACCCGTCTACGATCCAGGAGCCTCCCTGGCCCAACTAATGAGGTTTTAGTCATGTTGGTCTATGATGTATTGCGTTCGCTTTCGCAGGTCTTTTCGGGGGTTGGGGTAGGTTTCCCATTCTCACACACACACACAGAGTTTGGTTGAAGGTGTGGGAAAAAGACCATGCATGGAGGCCAATTCCGAATTGCCAAATTGAGAACCCCCAGGTCGACAGTCGACAAATGCAATTGACCTTCTTGGCATGGATGTCTTGTTCGGATGTACTTAGTGCATTTGACTGCCAAATCTCGCGTATACCCCATTTGATCTCGTCGTTGGCCACCGGAGCATCGAATCGTCCGATCGCCCTGCGCTGTCCGCCCAAGCATGGGAAGTGGGGGGATTCTCGGTGCTGTTGGCAGAGCCCCCATGACAAAAATAACCGAAAGTCGAAAGTAAACTAAGTAAACCACCTGCATTTCTATAGATGTGGATCATGGATGATGGATGATGATGGTGTATCTACGTGCAAAACCACTTCACCGGTTGGCACGCCGCGTCTCGACGGCGTGCCTCAAATCGGACCCGGTCGACCCGGTCGACCGATGCCGAGCTTCCAAGTCCAGCTCTGGGACCGACATCGGCACTTCAACGGCGTCCCTCAACAGATCTGGATGCCTCGTCCCATCTGCAAGCAAGACAGCCATGGATCATGTGGTGAGTCTCAAAACCTGAAACCCCAAACCCTTGTAGCTTCAGGTAATCCCGAGTACCTCCGAGTACCTATTAAAAACACCCAAGTTGTTTTATGTTTTTTGTGGGGGGGGCATGTGTTCTCTTTGTCTTTAATAGGTGGAAGGGATTAGGCAGATCTGTCTTGACCGCCGGGAACCTGGGGGTCGAGCCCGAGTCGTAGATCTTCACCAGACCGTGCACCGGTGAGACAAGGAGGTAAACGGACAATCCCCGCATTCCCACAAGAACCTGAACTCTCTGCATTCTTGTATAGGAAGAGCCACTCTGCATTCTATGAGCCACTCTTCAGGTTTGGAAGAGTACCCCCCAAACGCTGCTTTATTTCGCAGGTTCCTTGCCACTCATGTCTCCGAATCTTACACCCTATGGGTATGTAAGTAGCATTTCAAGGAGTTCGCTTGGATGTAATGTGACTTCATGTTGCCTATCGCCATGAAAAATCCCGAATGACGTGGACTACGTGGAGACCGTGGAGTTCTAGGGTCCCGTCTATGGCTTGAGAAGGCCAGCAGAGTTCGGGACTTGCCAAGTCTCCAGGAGGGCCAACAAGCTGCCTCTTCGGACGTCAATGGCCGAGCGCGGTCCATCCTGAGCCGCCGAGCCCGAGGATCCGGATAGCGCGGTCCATTTCATGGATCGGCCCACCCGCTGGAGAATCAACATCACTTGGTGAGAGAAGCGCCAATGACTTCGAATGATATCAGGAACATTCAGGAACTGACAGTGGATCACCATTTGAAAAAAGGTGCCTTCGGCGAAAATTCGGGCCGCTCACTGTAGCTCTAAGTCTATTCTCTGTGGTGGAAGTTGGCGATCCCCAAACAAAGGAGGTCAGTCAGGCCACTCTCATATAATGACTACATCCACCACATCCATGCAAGTTCCTTAAAGCTGATCAAATCCCACAAATCTTTTGCATGCTGCTGCAAGAAGCCTGGAACAGTATTTGGGCCTGTCGGAAAGCATCCAAATCAAAGTCCAGGGTGCAGTTGATACGCGAATCCTGATGATCCTGAGGCCAGCGTCGCATTTTGCAGCCGCTCCAGGTTCATGTCGGTAAAAACGTCCTGCAAACCAAAAAAGCAAGGCTCGCGGTTAATGCGCCGCTGCCAAACTGTTTGTGTTTTTTGTTTTTTGGTTGTTTTCGTCTCTGAGGATATTTTTGTATATTTGTTGTAGGTTTGTTTTTGCAAGTGTTTTTGCAGGCGCATCGAATTGTCCACGTTTTTTTGAAGGCGCCCATTCTTGTTAAGAGCGTGACACCGTGAGGGAGAATAGTTCGGAAAAGATAAGCGATCTGCAGTCATCCAACATTTCAGCGAAGAGTTGTTTCATGATCAATGACACAAATACAAATACTATATATACAGTATATATATATGTTCAGAGATTGCAACACTTTAGTTTTTCACTTACAAAACCCGCGGAAACGTGTTACTGGTGCGACTTGAAAAAAACAAAAAACAATGGTTGTAAACAAGAAGAGCCAGGTGGACAAAGCACACCGAAACAACACTAAAATTTAAAACGCACGGTCGCTACTTCTCGGACCTTCATGTATAAACCTTGGAACTGCACAGTTTCAGGTAAGTTAAATGGGTGCCACAGGAAAGTACATCGGAAGAAGTACCTCATGCAAAAACACAGCAAAGTGTGTGCCACGGCAAACGTGTGCGAATGCATAGGAACAAGTCACGTGCCATTAAACAAATACATACACACATTGACGTACGTACAAATGACGCAACCAAAAACCATCGCGACCGCGGCGACCGTTTCTTCAGTCAAGCCGTTGAACCGAATCAAGGCGGGGTGACAGGGTGATCTTTATGGAGTGACCTAAACCCCCCCAAAAAAAAACACATCGGAAACATGTGGGGTGGCAAAGAACCCCCATACACCTTGTTTTTGCCAGACCAGCGTTGTCAGTTTTTTTATATTGTTTCGAAGGCTTTTGTACATACAGTATATTCAATGTTCCTCTTTATCGCTTTCAACGGTTTGGGATGTATGACAGGATAGCAGGATTACTGCAGGGTCCCTTCCGAAGCTGCATGGGTGCGCACTTTCTTTTCAGTCTCCGCTGTCTGATGAGGTCTTTGCACAGATGGTTTGTTTCGTGCATCTGGTGGTTTCAGCTCCCATGAGTGGGGCGTATCCAACACTTGATTCGAAGCTTTGGCAGCCCGCTAACGGATGTAGTGGGATTGCTTGCAGGTTTGCGGACGGGCAGCGCTTCCAAGGAGGCAAGGGTGCATTGCACATAGAAAGTTGAAAAGAAAGGAGATGTAACACAAACAAACCGAGGGAAATGGAACGTCGTTCTTCTGATAAGTTTTAAAACTGACATATATATATATATACATATAACTAATTGTGATTTTTTGTTGTCGTTTTGTTAGACGGGTGTGACTGTGAGAGCACACAGGGGCCCAAAACCGTCAAACAGCGCTCGGCGGGCTTGTAACGACGCGCCCCACCACATGCTGTCCCCTTGAGAATTACGACTTCGCAGTGCTTTCGTATTGGCTTGCGAAGTGAATTCTAACCCGCCTGAGCATCCCGGTCCATGAGCTCTATTTTCAGTTGTATAGAAACGCTACGTCGCGAGTGGGGTCTGCAAACTCGGATGGCGGACATCCACTCAGCCGGTGGTGCTTGAAAGCTTCAAGGACAGCATCAAGACCTGGATTCTTCAACAAATAACCAACTGCCAGCTGAGTCAAGCGGCACAAACTAGGCGCATCTCTGCCCAGCAAGACCAAAGTCCAAGGGTTCACCGTGAACAAGGGTTTCAAACCCTCAAACCTTCCGGGGCACGGAAGCCGCAAGAACCGCAACAACCAAACAAGCACCAACGCGACCAATACGTCTTCTATGCGCATTGAGTCCTCCATGCTGCGATCCAGAATTCCTATTCACATGAAGAAGAACACCAGCCCACTAGTTTCAGTCAGAACCTATTAGTCTAGTTCCAGATGTGCATTACGTTACAGTGTGCAAATGTGCATGCCACCACACACACGCGCGAGCGCAGCAAAGGTCGTGCACATTTCACGCGCATGTAGGCAAATGTATTCTTGCGCAAGCGAAACTTGAGGTTAATATCCCAGCCCACCCCCCTTGTTCGGATGCCTAAAAAATATGCGGCAGGCGCAATGTTTCGCGCGCGTCACACAAGGGTATGGAGATTCTCAAACGAAAACGGCCCGGTTGCTCACATTGCATGTGAGAGAGTCTCATGCCTATGTGCAAAATACGTGGCAGGCACAGTGTTTCGTGCACTTTCGAGAGGTCCCGATTGCGAAGTGCGTTTCGACCGACAGGCGTGGTATAAAGAGCACCTAGGCTCGCAGGGCCCTGCTGTTTTGGGTGTGCAAACCCGCGTCATTACATGCCCGCGGAGCCTCAAACAAACACCGCAAATACCATGCAAAGTTGTCAACAACTGCACTGAAACCTAGGCGACGCCCGTATGTTTCCATCTTCATGCGCCCAGTCTCCATGTGCAATGTCCATGACAACTATAAACAGCTCGATCTTGGTCTGCCCACTATAAATGTGCAACACCAATGACAAGAACTATCAGCTTAATTATCCTTTACCTGCCCAAACAGAATGTGCCATGACGAGGTTTTTAAATAACACATGCGGCATACGTAATGACATAGGTGCAGGCATCATTCCTCAAATCCGGAGGGTAACGTAGGAACGTCGTGAAAGCAATCGTGTACATGTCCGAGAACATGAAAGTTGGAAGGAGGGGGCTTTATTTGGACGACTCTGGCCTTAAAGCCTGAAGGTACTCTTGCAACCCGAAGCGCAAGGGTAAGGGGTATCGAAGCATGCGTGTCTTGAAGACCATAAAGCAATGGAATGAAGTGATAGCTGCCATGTGTGAGAGCATCCAGTTTTGAATGTAGACATATCGTGCAGTTACCCTGTCACAGTCGGAAGCACAGTGGCTCCAGTACTCGGCAAAAGCCGTCGTACAAAACCTGAAAACTATGCAACTGTGCCAGAAAAATATTGAATAAATATATATATATATAAAGATATAACTTATCAAAGGTGTCTGATGTGCTACATGTAAATCAAGTAAACAAAAACTGGTATTAAACAAAATCAACACACCAAAAACTATATTGAGACATAACGAGCCAAAAAAACATCCGAATCCTATAGTAACCTCATTTTGTCTCAAACATTGTGTTTTGTCTTGTTCAGCTTGTGCTCTTTGCTTCCTGGTGTTTTTTGGCATTCTCTCTGCAATAAAATTCGAACAATAAACGACAATAGAAGTTATATAGCAGCTCTTAGGCCTCAATTCACCGTTAAAACACTGTTTTGATTGCATTGTGTGCGCAAAATACATCTCAAACGCATCCGTTCTGATACCCTCCAGGGATGGTTTTGGGCGAGCTCTCGAGTGGACCTTGATATCATGCCGATGGATGAATGCACAGATCCAGCTCCAAATCCAATCTCTTACCATTTTCTGGGGCTTCCCAGCTCAAAGTAGGCACTTTGGGACATACTCAACTGCCTGCTGCGGAGTCATCATATAAGCCCATGTGTTTCCCATCTCCAGTGCAAAACCTCCGAAAAGACCATGACGGCACCCCCGTGGGCCTCCCATTCATGGCACCACTCCCACCCCGCCCCACCAGCCATGATGTTAAACACCGCTCCTTGAAGTTGGAGTAGACCAGCGCAAAGCCCCAAAACGGTTTGTCCGAGGCAAATCCACCCACAAGTGTACTGCTTGAACCCCCAGGGCCCGGACTTGAACCCCCAGGGCCCGGAGGACGACCCCGGCCACGCCGTCGATGTGGAGGCGGTGAACCGCCTGTCAGAACAAATAAACCCCCCTCGCGGCCCCAAAACCTGGATCTTGAACTCAGCGACCATGTCACCACCGGCATCAACCAATTCGACCAGGCGTAAATGTGCACAAACCGATCAAACGCTTGAGCCCGGTTGTGCTTGTGAGAGCTTAGAGCAAAATGGAAGTGATCTGAAAGGCGATAGAAGGCTGCAGCCTGCAGGTAAGTGCCAGGAAAGGCATATGAACACTGAATACTTTTTGAATCTTTTTGAAGGTTCATTGGTGCAGTTGGCCATTGGCCATGTGGACAAAACAATTGTGAAAGTTGGATTTCGACTTGACTATGCATTTCAAAGAGGGGGAGAGAGAGAGAGAGAGAGAGAGAGAAAGGACAAACAACAAACTCAGGCGCTGTATGTAGCAAATTGCCAAATACATCATCATACTGCATATTGAGGTGGCAGTGGTTGGCAGTGAAATACTTTTCGACTCTGGACTCTAGACCATCTAAGCCCTGGGACAAACTATAACTATAACAACTATGAAGGGATTGGAGAACTCCCTGCAGCTCCTTGGCTCCCTGTTGATGGAGGATCAAAGAAAAATGATCAGTATTGATCAGTGGTTTGCCCGTGTTCGTTCCATTCTTGCCATACTAGACCTCCAACCAGTCATCTGGTCTGAGCGACCAGTTTCCCCATTCCGCCCTCCAAACCCGCTGCCCGCTGCCCCCCGACTTCGACTCGCCGACTCACCTTCTTCAGGAAGACGGCAATGTTGCTCTCGAAGGGCGGCTGTGGAGCAATCGCCTCGGCTTCCGTCCAAAAGACTCGGACTGAGGACTGCTTAATGCCAACGGCCAACGATCGCAAGACGCATACTGAGGCGGTTCGCGGTTTTGCCTGAGGATGCAGGCCTTCTGCATTGTAAAAGAAAACCATGAATAATGAAGTTCTGCACCGAAAACTCAAACATTATGTTGCCGTTCACATGCCTGCGAGGAATGAGCATCATCGCCCGTCAAATGATCACATGATGAAGGTGTATATATATATACATACATAAAACTACATGTATTTATACTATACATACATGTAGAAAAGTGAAGTTTCGCCAGTTTTCTCCCTGATGGTGCTCCCAATGCGATTCCCGCACCAAGCAACGGGAATAGTTCACCCCCTGGTGCACGAACCACTCGCTGGGCAAAAACACATCGGCGTCGCTGGTGCGAATGGGCAGGTATCCCACCAGGGTCCCGTCGCCCGCTTGACACTTCGCTGCGACCTCGGTCCGAGCCAGGGGGTAGGTGCGGAACCGGTCGACTCACAGGTGCTGGTGATGTTGTACTGACTCAGGATGACTCAGGCATGATTATATACTCTAGATCAAGACATGTCTAGACTCTGGATCCCCCAAAAGCAGGTGGATATATATATATATATAGCGAGAGTTGTTCACCTCAAATATATAGATCGTTGGAAAGCTCAGTGATGTCCTTGAACCAACCCAGAGCTTTATCCAAGGTGCGCTGATTCTCCTTTTCTGTGCCTTCTGCAGGGCGTCAGGTGCTTCATCTGGATGAAGTAAGAGCGGTTTCCCCATAAGATCAGCTGAGTGTGGAAAGACCTCATCCAACAAAAACACATGGACGAGAACTGAAGAGAGCACACAGATTGAATGCCTGACCTGGTGAATCCATGTGAAGTCAGTGTGTCATATTTTGTCGGAACTCCAACATTGTTTGGGGAGGAGACCAGGTAAATCCTCAAATTCATGCAACCACGGTCCGGGGAATCTCTAAACTGGTGCTGGCTTGCTTGTGCCTTTTTAGTTTAAGAAAAGAGCTGGGCGCGGGTCACGGCTTAGGTAGACTAGGCCCGGACTTGTGGAGTGACAGGACGGACGGACTTGTGGCTGGCTGTGAGCTCATGTTCAACCTGTCATATGGTGTCATGGTGTCCGACATTGTCCGACGTTTACAGTGTTTGAAAGGGATGCCCCAAGCTAGTCTGAGATAGGACTCGTGGAAGGTGAACGAGAAACCAACATGAATGGTCGGCATGGGCGATATTTTGATCCAAAGGCTCATGACCTAGGTCTTGTGGATGTTTTGTCTCTTCAGTTTTTGCATTATGACTTAGGACTTCAGATTTGAAGGTACTTCCGCTGACTCCTATGTCCTTAGCGGGCAGTATAATACATATATGTATATATATATATCAAGTGCAGCCACTGCCACATGAGAAATCGTACCCGCAGGTGCCAACGCTACAGCGCTGATGCCAGTCGCATTGGGCTTCCTGGACGTTCGCCGAAGTCCCGGTTGGTGAAACGCGGTCCGGATCGAACGAGACCGTTCGATGGGGGTCGGGTAGGGTATCCGCCGCCGCATATCCGCACCAGTCGTCTATACCTACTTCAAGCCGGCTTTGGTGGGGGTCAAACTCGGACTCGGACCGAAAAAGGGGTCCCGTGCCCACACAAGAGCTTTAGACTTTAGACACCTCAGCAAACTCTTCGTTGATGAAAAAGAACCGCCACCTGAAACAGGTCTAGGGTCAATGAGGGTCAATGTATTTCTCACTCTAGATTAAAAAACAAGGATCTGTCTTTGGGATCCTACAGTCCTGGGAACTAACAATCCCACATCCAAACCATGCAAAATCATGCAAACACACATTAACAATAAGCAAAGAAAAAGGCCAAAAAGGCCTATCAATTTCAGGCTCTCACATCAGCCTTGAAACTTGTCCCCACTCCTCCGCAACGAGTCTGCTATGTACTCAAAGTTCTTGGCAAAATCAATGCCCTGCGTCACAGCGGCCTCGTCACAGCAACGGCGATCAAAGGATGACAAAGGACACCAATGACTTGCTCAGAAGAATGTAGCCGCCGAACAATTCTTTGGATTAGTTAGTCCATCGGATTCATGAGTGCTACATGTGTCTACTGGAGCGACCTGGTGAAAAAAACAACTCTTCAAATATGTCGGCATTGTGTACCACAACATGACATTCCGACTTAAAGAGCAGCCACTAACCTCTTGGGGAATCTGCTGCTTGGCGCCAGTAATCCCCAGTTCAACGCATCCTTCAATGAATGATGCTGCTCGTTGGAAGCTGCCTTCAAAGCCCTGTGGATTGAAATGGGTCCATGAAAACAGATCCTGGCAGCGCAATGCAACCGAGCAAGGCCGAGCAAGGTCGTGTATGTCAACTCGAGCACAAAAAGGACCAAAAATGACCTTCGACCAGCTCATGAGGCCTTCGACCAGCTCCATCCCAGCCTCCAGCACATGTAGTGAAGGCATGGAACTGCGAATTTTCAGGACGATGTCTCTGGTCACAAGCCTCTGAGATCAGAGACGCCCACGCGGATCACCCCGGAAAAATCCGTCTTTGACCCCGACGGATGAAAAGGCAGCTCCCCTATCAAACAAACGACTACTCGGACTACCCTCCCCCATTTTCACCATTCTCCTCCACAAGGGGGTCTCCTCAGCTTCCTCTGAGGGATGGTCTCAACTGGGTTCTTTAAATATATCAAAATCATGACCAGTGCTCCCGTACTGCGCGCCACGTCTGCGGCTGATGGCGTCGCCTGGCTGCAAATCGAGCAGATCCTTGCAATTCCTGAGAGTGGTGCCCACGGGTTCAAAATACAAGGCTTTCTGATCGAACTTCTACCACCGTGCCCATGGGCCTCCAACCAGCTTTTTTGGGCGCCGATGCTTTGAGCTACTGATGGTGCCGTCCCTGTTCGATAGAACCAACCAAAAAAACACCAACGCCAATTGCCGGAGTGCCTGGAAACTACCCGGCCATCGCTTTTTCGACCCTTTATTAACGTCGAACTCGGTCGCGTAACCGGGTGCTTGATTCCGGAAAGAGGTGTGGCGAACTGTCTACTTCATCAGAAACCACTGGGGAGACAACAAAGAACACACATCACAAACCAAGGTTGGACGTCAACCATAGTACGGAAGCTTAGCTTTGGAAACATTGCTAGGGCATGTGCGTGCTTCTTCAAGAGCATGAAAGTATTGCGTGCTGATGCTGTAGATGCCAGCCCCAATGCCAGCACACATCAGCGCAAACACCTGAGCAGTTCACTGCGTGGCACATGTCATGCACAGTTCGGTTGACTGCGGTGATTCGGTCTGTTCGATTTAACCGCATGCTACAAACATGATCATACAAGTCACCATCACTTGAAACTTTCTTTCATCAGGCCCTCCTGCTCAATTCTTGAGGTGGATAACTCCTCTTCTCAGTTCTCACCATTCCCACCTGGCTAGCACCACTTGCAAAACTAGATTGAAGATGATTGAAGTAGAATGAATTAGGCTTGACTAGGTATATTATATTTAGACATAGCTGACAGGGTCATCGGGTTTCATCGAAAGCCATGTCTTGTCGGACGAAAACGCTATCCATTTACATCCATTTACGAAGCATGCCGCTGAGCCAGCGGTTGATGCATTCAATGCTCCCACGCCCCCCTGCCCCCCCCAAAAAAGGCGATGGACGCCTTAACAGGCGGAACTCCTCTTGAAAGCAAGGCGCTGCCCAAAACCTCTTCCATCTCATCACCAGGGGAACTGGTCGTCTCGTGTAGAAGTTCCGCTGCTTCTGGGCGACATCGGGAGCTGTCGCCAGCGCGATCTCGTGGTTGAGGTGCAAAGACCATGCAGACTTCCTGGGCGAAAAAAAAAGGACCCTGGAAATGACCTCAAAGAGGGAGCTAACTGGTCAGTTCCCGATGCTTCTTGAACACCTCAAAGCCAATCTGGGCAGTGGAATGTTCAGGACGGGAAACCAAATCAAACTCGAGTGCCCAAGATCCATGCTTCAGAGTTCATGCTTGGACCCTCGGTTAAACGGTTAAACGACTGGATCCCCAAACCGAATGGACGCTGACGCTGTAGAAATCAAAGCGGGGTTCTTGGGTCCGGCGGGTTGGGGCGACCTGAGCACCAATCCCAACGGACCTACGAAGAACTTTTTGAAAAGACAAGAACGATGTTCAAGAACTGTTAGAAACGCACCTTTTTTCCTTTCGCGAGTACTGAGCCGTGTGGCTCTTGGTCTTGGCTTCGCATGCATGAGGCTTGCACCGTATCCAAAAGCCACTTAGGCGGGACACGTCAAAAGCTGAATTCTACCTCGCTGAAGGGGCAAAGAGACGCGACAAGAGCGCTGGTACTCTGGCATCTCCTGACACTCCACAGGCGTACACAACCCAAGCCTTCGCATGGAACAACAGCAAGTTGGCGGCCACGTCTTTCCTTGCCACTATGCCGCGCGCATTCAAAGTGCAAAAAGGGTTGCCACCTCACTTCCGGCTGTGGCCACCTCACATCCACCCCGACCTCCATCGAGGTACTCAGGAAGGTGGCTGTGACCAAGTAGCCCAGCTGGTCGACCCATGCCCTCGACGTGGATTTAGGGTCTACGTAGCCAACGGCGAGAGCAACAGACAGTTCGATCCAGGCAATTCAGAACATAGATGCTCAAAGATGCAGGGCGCGGGCGTTCCACCATGGCAAGTGAAGCATCCCACTAGGGCTACCCACCTAGGCTGGCCTCGTGCGGGCACACGAGACACCAACCATGGAGCCCTTGAGCCAAAATGGCTACGGATTAGAAACGCACCATACCAAAAAAGAACTTCCGCAACACACATCAGCAAACAAACACTTTCATACGCTTTAAGATTTCCCCTGTGACTGGACCAAACCCTCCCCCCCGATCAAAGAGACGCCGGCTCTGTCTAGACGCCGGACGTCCGGTGCTCCGAGGCGCTGTGAGATGCCCGACTGAAGGCTGACGAGATTAAAGTCGTCGACGCCTCAGAACTTCGACGGCGACCGGGGAGCGAGGTGTCGAGCGACGCAGGTGTCGAGCGATCCCCGGTCGTGGCGACTGCGCGCTCCAATTGACCCGGAATCCAGGTAGCAAGACGTATCCCCACATCTGAAGTGAGGATGTCCTGATGAACATCAGTGACTGAAGCTTGAACGTACCAAACAAAAAGACTGCGCCCTTCCAAAGCCCGCTGTTTGCAACTGCAGGCGCCACTAGCAGTGATGAAGGTCGGCCATTGTGTGGAGCCCAATGTTGGGGATGCGGGCGTAGGAGGCGCGGAGACCGGGGTGGTCACGCCCTTCTGACTGGACGCCGAGCTATCCCATCGAATCACATGCATTGAGCCCTCTGCAGCGGCAAAGAAGGCGGATCATTGATTTATTCATCACAGTCCTGAACTGTCCTAAACTACAATTAAGCCTTTTCCCCTATTTCCCCCATTGGTCGAAAACTCAGAGGCCCAACGGGACCCAACAGATTGATGGAAGGGTCAGGTCAAGCGGTTGGCACGGAAGTCACAGGCAACCGCCTCGCAGGAAGAAACAACCAGCAAACAAGCTGCATTCAGGGTTTTGGCCTTGGACCAAAAGGGTTTTCCGGCCGTCTGCTTTGCTCAACGTGTTGGAACCATGTTTACGATCCATGATCCAATGACACAAGTGCACGCATGCTTTGCTCAACGCTTGGGTAGCTTTCCAGTGCAATTCTTCGGTCACTTGGAGGATGGCAGCGTGTTGCCCCGACCTGACGGCACAATGCGACCGTCAGCGACCACACATCGAAACACCCTTCGGCTACGCCGTGCAGATCATTCTCTGCCGTGCTGCTCGCATGCCAAAACCGCCAAACTGCATGTGGTCACATCAGGGAACGGGGCTGTTGCAAAGGTGCCTCAGCTGTCAACGGGCATCAGCTTAGTTCATGTTCCACGCCACTGAAGAGTCTGCTTCAAACAAGAAGTAGCCAGCCGGAACTGTTGGAAAGCTTGCCTGCCTGGTAGGTTTGCGGGGAATATGAACCAGCTTTTGCTACATTGAAGTGAAAAACCGTAGCAAACTGTTGTTATATATAAATGTTGTAGAAAACTACTTTCGGTGACGCGCTCTTGTTCTTCGGCGTTCAACCACCCGCAAGCCGCAAGTTATGTGCTGTTTCTGACAGTCACAGTTCCAGGGGTTTACCATGCTCTGAAATCCCCAATGTAAGGTCAAATGCTAACCCACCCCAAGCCCGACTCCACCCTGTGCACATGCCGAAGCGATGTTAATAAAAGGACACCACATACTCTGACTTCTGTGGCGAACGTGAATTGGTTAAGGAACACGTGCACCGGGCAAGCTGTCAAAACCATCAGCTACTGGCAATCTGTCTCAAGCTGTCGACTTGATACAGCTGAGTGGTTTGGCTCGTTCCACCTCCCTTTCTCCTTCTGTACCTTCTGAGTCGAAGTCTCTCCCCAGAGACTTAGATGGTGTGAGTGCAAGTGTCATACGTCCAGCTTCACTCCCAAAACTTGAACCACGCAGCCTGACGTTGCACTACGCATTCATGTATATTATATATATGACTATAATCAGCACCTTGAACTAGGGCCAAAAATGACTGATCGGTTGTCCATATGGAGCTGCCTGAGCTGCCTGTGTCTGGGAGGCACTCTGTTCAACACTGACACTGCTTCTCACATCACAGGCGCATAAGCTCTTGCGCCACAAGCCCTTGGCGGAGAGCCCTTTCAATGCACTGTTGACCGCAAACAACGATGGCCGCAACGCACCACAAAGGAGCCACACCTAGACCGAGTCAGGTGTGGAAGGCCAGGCGACCGACTGCGCTAGAGCTGGGATTCAGCCGGTGAACAAATACTCTAGTTGAATAGACACCAGCTAGGATAGATTCTCACCGTCAAATTGCAGGCTCTAATGAAAGTCCTCGCTTTGACAGCTTTTGCACAGTTCACAATGGAAACGCTGGTCTCAAGAGGGCCTAGAAAGTCCCCGCTTTTACCCTTCCCCCAAGCAAAACATGCATTATTTATCATTATGTTACATTACTTTCAGCATTGAATGGCTCATCTATGATCAAGAAAACAGATCTAGCATTCGCTTCAGTTTCTGGAGCAGCTACGACTTCCTACAGGGTTCTGCAAGAAATTATGTGTTTTCCTAGTTCGAGCTACGACTTCAACTAATCCATGTAGGGGTGGATCTGAATTGAACCCATTTTGTATTGGTGGGCCAATGACCTCCCCTCAAGCCATTCCGCGACCAGAAAAAGTAACTCCGCTGTCTTAGGACCTTCTGAAGCGGCCTCACCCTTATCAAGTAAAATGGTTACGGATTCTTGGACTGCCCCAAAAAATCATTGGAACGCAGCCGTGCATCAAAATGTTCCGCCGTTTCAAGATAGATAGATAGATAGACAGATAGATAGATAGATAGATTAGATAGATAGATAGATAGATAAATTAAATAGGAATACATATATAAAATGATATAAACAAATAGCGCAGCAAAAGCAGCAAAGCAGGGTTTGAACTCATGCACCCTGTCCCCACTTTGCTTTCACCCACCATCCCCAAAAGCACACTTTGGCCCACCATCCTTCTTCGGAAATCCTCCTAGATTCCAGCAAAGGGGCTGCGGAGCGCCAGGCTTTCCCCAAAGCACAAGCATCCACAGCAGCATTTTGACAAATGTGGGATGTGAACATCCTACTGATTTCAAGTGCCCTGTGCCAGCACAAACCTGCGGAGTTGGTGAACGGGAGAATGCGAAAAAAACACGGCGGGGGGGGGGTGTGGATCAATGCATGCAGCAATGGCAATGCCTCTTGATGGTGTCAAGTGCATCACAATGGAGGAACAGGACAAACCTGTCATGTTCTTGCCAACACATGATAACTCATGGTCTTCTTCACCGTGCGGTTTCATTGTTTCATCACACGCACCATACCATGGTTGCCGGATTCCATTCCATGGACACTGACAGCTAAGAACTTTGAGGCCAAAAGATCTGAAACGTGCAAGGATTGGAAGTTCAGATCAGTACATCTGAAAAACTGAAGTCTCACATCAGTTCAGTATCTGATCCAAACCTTTTCAGTTCAGCATCTGGACTTCACCTTCAAAGTATTGGAGTGCCCTGGAGTCCCCTTGAAAAGCTATTGGCAGTTCAGTCTCAGTTCAGCATCTGCAACAGTCTTTGACAAGTTTGTATCTTCCAGTCTCTTGCGACGCAAGGACCTCTCGTTTCCATCAATGGCGCTCTGATCCTTCACACTCCCGCAACACAGTCTGAAAAAAGACCCTCCATTGCTTCGGCCCGAACTTGATGAAAGTACACGACAGCCTGACCTGAAGTACACCACAGTGACACGCCCCACCTGCTGCACAAGCTGCAATCGCCACAGAACCGACCACTTCATCGCCACAGGTGCCAAGCTGCAAGGAGACTTCCCATTGTCGGCCTCTGGAGTCAACGATGAACGGTGTCACGATGTCAAGAACATGTCTAAGAGCGTAGCAGTTTCACGCAAATCTTGCTAGAATGAACAAAAAACACCTTAATCGTTGAACGTCATAGGCTATACGTATATTCAAGTATTCTGCGTCAAGAACAAACGCAAATGCTTATACAAATAGAGATATTGAGAACATCCGTTCCTTCTAGTACCAGTAGAGCACTATGACAAGAAACAACCGAACAAACATGAACAAACTACGCTTTATTGCCCAACCCGCAATTCAATGATTCATACCCGCAGCATTTTTTGAAACCCAGTCAATCAGTCAGTCAGTCAGTCAGTCAGTCAGAGATTGCCGGATTTTGGACTTTGCTTGCTTTCTTTGAGGTAGCTTGGGCTTCTGGAATTAGTTTCCGCGGCTAATTAATTTTGCTTGTTACAACTTCCACCTACGACTTTCTGAAACCTGTTCGCCGCTGTTTTCTCGTTTAGTCCCGTTTGGTCCCATTTGTGTTATGAATGAGGATGCATAGCATCACTCTGTGTACCCTTCCTAAACTGAAAAGTGAGCTTCCTGAAAGAACGGCTGAAACACATGCCCCCTGCTCCACACACCCCACTATGGAGACTTCTCCCTCCCTGAAGGATTCATGCCTCTCAAGCACGAGGTCATGGCGCTGCTTTCGGCATAGGCATCAGCTCGAATCAAAGCTCTGGACCTGTGAAGTCAATCACGAACTCAATTGAAGGTGTCTGAGGGAAGTTTTTCCGCAACTAAAAGTGAAGGCTAAATGGACGGTGTGTGGAGAAAGGGGGTCAGCAAAAATCGCTTATACGAAGTTAGTGCATCAAAAATATTCAAAAATACCTTCCACGAAGTTCTGCGAAGGTTTCTGGAATTTCGTTGCAGTCAGTTCTCCTACTGGCCCACCATTCCACGAACTGTCCACGAATAGCCTTGGGTTCTACGAATGTCCCACGCCTTCCACGATGTTAGTAGAATATAGTAGAATAGGTTTTTGCAAAACCCTTTCTGTGCACTACCCTTCCGTTTGCCTCGGAAAAAGGCTAGAGTCACTCAAGTGCATCTCATGTGAGGTCATTCGTTACTTCGATTCCTGCCATCACGCGCAGCTATGGGCACAGGTGGCTTCACTTCTTGCCAGGCAGGACGTGAAAAGACCATCCTGGAAAGTCGTTTTAACCGTTCAGACCGAACTGACAGCTGAGTTTCCAAGTCGAGGGACATCGTGCAAAGCAGGTGCATTGTAACCTCCCACTCGAACTCACAAGCAGCGACAGCAGCACCTGATGTACAGGAATTAGACACTATGGTACCTTCAATCACCATTGCCAGCTCCATAACATAAGAAACAATACAAAAACGACATGTGTTAGGATGTGTTATGTAGGGCTGGCTCTTCGCAACCCTTCAGGCCCATTCTACAATTTTACAATCAGCGCAACAAACTACATGACTTGTCAAAAACCTCAAAAAGAGCAAGACGGAACGGCCAACACGCAACGTGTAAACATTCAAACAACCAGTGGCCATAGCTGACCACAGTGGGCAACAGGACCCCATCAAGCATACTGTGGAGAAGAAGCAAGGCAAGTTGCCAATGTCGGCTCCTCGGCATTGCTGTTGAGAAAGCGATTGTTTAGTGACTGGGCGTGGGTTCCTCATGATGCTCATGTAGAAACGGCCATTGCTATGATTCCAGTAGATGAGTTTTTTGCTGCAGAGGGTGAGGTATACGAATTGCACAGATTCAAACAACATTCAATGTTGTTTAGCTAGTCGGTGCATCGTGGACTTCTGCATTGCGCAGAAGTCACATGGGTGTGCATTTCAATAGGGAGGTCGCCAACCAATGGGTTTTGGCCTATAATATATATTTATGTTTTTTGTCATCTATTTCCCTTCTTCCAAAGGCTCTAATACTACACACTCGCATGGCGACACGGCACCGCCCTGGCGGCCACTTACGTCGTTACATCGTCCAAGCATCGCTCCACAAGCTGAGATGGCGCTATTGAAGCTGATGTCATGCCCCATGGAGCTGTCCACGGTGGAGTGGAGCAACCACAACGAGTCTTTCCACCGCAAAGCGTCCGCACAAGCTCGACTCACGCAATTCACAGCCATGTTATCCAGCAAGGCACCGGCCACCTGCAGTGAAAAACATGTCTCACTCGGCTCTGTCGTTTCCGGGTGTCTTGCTGTCTTGCAGAAGACGTTGTGAACTACACTTCGGAATGTGTAGTTTGGTGTTTCATCAGTTTCATCATCAGGATATGATTCCCACAACTGGCAGGAACACAGATTGCCAAATGCCCACTATCCACCATCTTTGATGGACACAGCGGCACAGTACATCACAGAACTTGCACCTGATGAAGCAGTCAACCACGTTATATAAATGTAAGACCAATACAAAAAGGCCTTTTGCACAATCGTCACCTCTGTAGGCAGCCCCACGATTTCGCCAGAACATGAACAACCAGCCGGGCAGTTTGGTTGTGAACCCAGACCCTGTGGGCCAACCCTAACACAAGTGGCATCCTGGGCAAGACTTGGCCAAATTCACGTTGTTCATTCACCTCCTGCTAGGCCGGCGTTTCTGCACAGCGTGTCTGGGGTCCAGACCGAGACTGGGGCGGCCCTCAACAGCGCCAGTGCTTGTTGCCACTGCTTGGCCATCTCCAAGACACTCATCACATGGCCCAGCTCAACCCGCCCCACACACATCAGCTGCAAGACATTGGAAAGGACCCAGGCCCAGCGCGAGCCGGTTCCAACCAACATCTTGGGTGTGGTACTCAAATCACTTCCAATGCATCTGAGAAACATGCCACCCCAGGATGCATCCTCATCATTGGTCCATGTGGAACTTTGTTGGTGAGACTTGTCGTAACTTGTTTCCTGAACCTGTTGATTAAGAAGCCCCATACTAATGCTTACATCTCCATAATCACGGGAGGGTTATCAACAGTCCACATGATCCCCGGTTTCGGACATCATCAAATGAACCACACCCGTGGATGTCTGTCAAACCCGTCCTGATGTGATGAAATGGCGCGGTTCTTCATGGAGACAGCCGTGCTCAAGGAAGACGTCCATGCCGACGACTTCGATGATTCCACTACATTGCGCAAGCTCACCATGTCCGGCCGAACATGCGAGGACTCCATCGCCGTCAGAAGCTGTAGAACTTCAATCCAGCTGCTCACGGCCATGATGCTGTTGACACAATACCTCTGTCAGCAGGAGATGGGAGAGGTCATATACCGTATACCGTCCAAGTATGCCAAACAAGTTGTGTCTTGCGTTCAAGACTGACAAAGAATGTGACACCTCAAAAAAGGGCCCCTCCGCTGTCCCACACGTTCTTTGTGCGAAGAAGAGGGTCCCGGTTCAAGTGGTGGCACACGGACGCACAAAAGGACGCGAGGTGTTTGACCCACAAAATTCCACATGACATGCATTTGTTTGGGAAGTCGACATTAACCCACATCTTGTATCATCATGTATGAAATAGTTTACTGCACGCATCTGCTAGAGTATGTAGAAACTATTCCATACATCGACGGTCTAGGAAATGACACCAAAATCCCCCACGACATGCCTCTTTGATCCGTGCCAAGCGGCAAGTCACGAGGCATCCTTGGACGCGGGACATTGACAGATGGGATGGACGATGCCGAGTGCCAAGCGAGGCATCGGAGGAGGGTGATTTGGAGGAAAATAGATGAGCCATGACATGACGACATAGTGTTTCTGTTACAGTATTCTTTGATCGCGCCATAGGGGGGAACTCCCGTCGTCGCGCCAGTCACGGCTCTCTGCTTTGAAAGGAATATGAATTACCCCGGCAAGCCTCAGCCTTTCCCTCCTGAGCACCAGCTATATATATATTATATATTTATATATATATAGTCTTGTTAGAAGGTCTTCAATTGTCGATTTCGATGAAGAAAAACAAGAGTTCCAAGAGTGAGCAGTGTTCAAAGGCTCATTGGTGAGAAGTTCAGAATCTCCAATGCTTGCTGCCACTGCTTGCTCTCCGTGCAGGATACAATCATGGACGAGCATGTTACAGTGCTTGGAACCAGCGCCATGGCCAGAAGGGATGATAGAAGAAGCAAAGTCGTCGACCATCGCCCTTCTCCTCGAAAAGCCTAAGCGAGCGACCACGTGCAAAAGAAAGCTCAGATTCCAAGCTAGGCAGTACCTATGGAAACGTGCCAGCAGCATTCAACAGCTATGGAAAATGCCAAATGGAATAACACTATTAAAGTATATATATATATATAAATGTGTGTTCAACATGGATGACTTTACATGACTTCACTTTACTGTCTATGTGCTGCTTGATGGTCACTACCATGATCTGTATCTCTTCTCTGCCTCAGGCCTTTCACTTTCACCAACTTCGCCGAGAAGCGCCAATCATGCTGTTGTACGTGATGACATTTGCCACGATACCTCCCTGTTGCATTTCTCTAGGCCAGGATAGGGCTCTTTGCCAGCACGCATTGCGGGCCAATGCATTCACTGCCTCAAATAAGAATGGTCTCAAAACACTAAGACGCTCCATTGGACCAATCAAAGCTTAACAGGAGATCCGAGGCGCATGCGTAAGGACATAATTAGTGGCGACGCATGGAGGAAAAGCCCTGAGAAAACCTTTAAACTTTAAACAAGCCCCCAAGCGAACGACACATCACCTCACTGGTTGCCGGCCAAACTCGCGGTGGCGCACTGCAGTCGAGTTGCATCTGTCAAACAAGAAAATGCCAAAAACCAGTCGGAACAAATAATCACATCACCCTCTTACCATTTGTGAGGGTTCAACATCGTAGGCCACATGTCCATCAAACACGCATTGGAGTTGCCGTGAGTAAGATGGGGGAATTTTTGAACCTGTTGCTCCATCTTGAGGAACGATATTAAAGGAACATCCAGCAACTCGCTCTTCTTGGCTCATGACTCTACTCAGATCTCCACAAAGTTCTGCGTCCAGGCTGCACTACTCTGCGTGACGACACTGGTCTCTGCACCTGACTGCGACAACAGCTGCAAGAGTCCCATCGCCCTCGGCCAAAGCCCTGCGCCCTCGGCGAGGAGAGCGAATGCTGTGCCGTCCAGACCTGTGACACAGGCAGGTCTAGATGGGTCCAGTTTGCGTACGGGATGTGCCGCTAAGGTGTGCTAAGGTGTCTTCAATCAAGACACTACACCACATGTTCTTAGGCCCTTGCCGGTCTGATCCAGGGCCTACGAAAAGCAAGGACTCAAACAATGGTATAAAACAACTGTGGATCAAGATAAAGCAACTCACATTGAAATGGGTGTGAGTCGCGCGGGGAAATTGCTATGTTTCCAACAGCAGTGGGTTTAGGTCTTTACAGTACAGAGTCGGTCATTGCTCACACTCTCATTAGCTCAATATTCTCACTCACTCATCTCATCCTCATTACTTCCCACTCCGCCATTCATTGTCAAACCAACTGCACCCTGCCCTCGGCACCTCCACCTGACATCGCCATCTGCAAGGCTTCGGGCCATGCGTGCGAGATGAAGGTCTCGGGCCTGAGCCTGGCGCGGCACGGCCGTAGAGGGTCGGTCCTGGATGGGATAAAGGTGATTGGAGGTGGCGGTGATGGAGGAGATTGGAGGTGCAATTCACCACAAAACAAAAAACTATACTTATCATCTATACTCCAAGGTGAAAGTATTGAATGGGATACTAATAGTTGGAAGTGGAGGTTCAGAATTGGAGGGTTCCTCGGAGGGTTCCTCAATTCCACTTTTGAAGTGTTTCAGGGGGCGACTGTCCACCGTTTTCCAGAAGCTGAGTGGGGATGGGACCTGAGACATACCGATGTGTGATGAACACTGGCGTCCAGCCTCAACAGTGCAATCGAGCAGTAGACATCGGCAGCCTTTTGCCATTGGCTCTGTCGATGTAAAGCACTCATTGCGCCTGATAGCTCTCAACTGGCTATATAGTGGCGAGGTGTTTCGGTAAATTTCTTGAACTGACGAGACAGAAAGGACAAACACTTTCAGCAACTCTTGGCTCTCAAATCTCTCACCCACCCCCCAAAAGCTACCCAAAGGTCACTTTGGGACTATAAGAAGTGTTGAAGCTACTGAACGTGCAACTGGAGGCTCTGTGCCTGTCTGGCTGACGGCCTCACTGCGTTTCAGCAACGGCTGTCTAAACAAATTGCAATTCCTTGCTGACCAACACTGTATCAAAACAGAATGTGCATATAAAAGATTGGTGCATCAACACTCGAACGTTTTTAAGGCATTTTAAGGCACTATGAAGTTGCAGGAGGAACCACAATGGACAACGCGCTAGTCTTAGTTGCGCTTGGTAGAAGCACACCAGTTGAGGAGTTGAGGGAATTATATGCATGTACAATCATGTACATAAGCACCTATACAACCTAGCCTTTCGTGCCTGGATCCTGGATACGGATAGGGCGGATAGGGCCCCGGCCCTAAGCACTTGGAATTCCTCCTGTTCATCACCCGATTGAAATCCCAGCGGCTGTTGAAGCAAATCACCGATGAATCCATGCCGCGATGCGACCTCTCCAGTTGTTGGATGGCCATTTGCCATTGACTTCCTTTATCACATGCGCTGATGGTGGTGCCGTAGCTCACCACCTCTGTTCGGGACGGACAGACCCCGCTGGTCTCTTTTTACATAGGGGGTGGCCTAAGGGCCCCCCCTCTCACAGCCCCCCCTGGAATAATAAAAGTATTATTCTGACCACCATCCAGATAGATTCTGAATATTATCCCAGTATGTCATTCACATTGAGGATGTTCTGTGTAGACCTTCTGGCTCTGAAAAAAAGGAGCGGCATTGCAGATACGGACAGGTTAGATTGTCACACCGTCTGTAGTTGAGGGTATGCAAATAGAGGGTGGCTTGCAAAATTATTATAATTATTCCTAAATTATTCAGAATTCCAGGGTGGTACCTTAAGCCACTACCTATCTTAAATATTATTCCATCGAAATTATTCCAAAAAAATATTCCAGTAGGTCAGATGATCCCTGGAATAATTAATTAGGCCAGCCCCTATCTTTTTACACACGTCGCCGTCTGACACGTCTCAAGCCGACGGCAAAGGTGTCGCCCAAAAGTGTGCTCTTGCGTTCCGGATCTTCGAACTCGTGGCCAGGTCAGGGTGTGCGTCCAAACTTGCAAGGGAGCAGTGGCCATTTTGACTCGAAGTTGGTCCCTGCTTCTCCAAATCTTGCTTTCAGGGCCAAGGGCGTCCCTCGCGGAGCAAACGAAAGGTTTCGGGCCAAAGTACGCTCAAGGGCACTTTGGTGTCAGTTTTGCCAGAACTTGCAACGCGATGCTCAGTGCAAACGCTTTTGGGCCCAAGGGGGTCACTTGGATGGTAAAGTTGCTCGACTTTCCTAGGTCGGAACGGAACATCACCGCGGAACGCCAAACTTCGCTGTACTTGTTCTTCTCCTTCTTCTTCTTTTCCTCGTTCCTCTTTTTTTGCAAAGGCCAAATCAAGGAACAGGAAAAAATACCGTTGGCTTTGTGGCTTTGTGGGTCATTTCAACAGTGGGTTGAAGGATGATGATGATGGCATCTTCAACGCGGGCCAAAGCAATCCAGTACCCCTACATGGGCATGGGTATGCCATTGTCGACAGTGGTGCGTCCGACAACGTCGTGAGCAGGGCAAAGCAACTATATCTGTCTTTGTATTTTTGGGTATTGCTGGCTGTTGAGCTCTGAGTCTGGCATCCTCACTGGCAAGAGTAGGGAAGAATGATCTTTGGAAAAATTGTCAGACACTGAAAATAGTTGTTTGATGTTGTTTGAATATGACACACTGCAAGTAAATCATCTAAACCACCTCTTTACGCTCTTTGTGTCGTCAGACCGACCTACGACCCCGAGCCGCCGACCCTCCACGGCCGTTCATTCCCGGCCGCATCTGGCTTCAGCGCGTTTTGCCCCAGGAGCACGAACAAGTTCAAGCTTTGACGCCAAGGGCAGCGGCTCAAAGCACTGTTGAAGCTCACCGTGTCGCGCCTGCGATGCAGCACTGCACTTCAAACATGGAGAAGTGATGTAAAGGACAGCAGGAAAAAAAGGATCCGTGTAAGTCCCCTTTGCCATGTAATGGAAGTCATTGGAAGTCATATGGAGTCACACATGATGAAGTCATGCTTTGACTGGGTCCATGGATTCAGCTAGTAGGGCTTGCACATTGTAGACCCACAAATCCTAGCATGTGTGCACATATCACATATCTATAGCTATGACGAACACCAACTTCCTAAAAATATATACATAAGTCTCCAGTCTTCCTCGGCTGTTGTGATCCGCAAGCAAAAGTCGCCTTGGGGCCCAAACTACGGCTTGATGACACGGGCACTGAATTCTCTCAATTGGCGCAACATCTCCCACCTCACAGCTTGGCGAGGTGATGATGAGAGCAGCTCCACAGCAGTCTGCCAGCGGGTGCCTTTCACACATTCGCTGATGGCCAAATTGCATTGATAAACGTTGAGCTCCAATCCTCAGGTAGTGGACTTTGCTCCAAATGCGGAAGAAAGAAGCAACCAAATGCGCAACACAGTAATGATTGTTCAAAGTTATATGTGGACGAAATGGCGGAGTCAAGATGGGGGCATGGGCCTGTGTGTATTCAACGTGTGTAGTCTATTTGTTAACATGCATGTTGCTGGGGCTGCTAGGGCATCTTTGCGGTTCCAATACACCTTGTGGACTTGCCACCAACGGGAGAACATCTTGTTGACGACGACAACCATGACTATTTCTTGTCACTTTCAACCCGGACATGCTTGGAATACACTCCCTGAAACAAGCATGGAAGTGGAACATCAGCCCCTGTGGAAGAAAATAAGACCTCTGCAGGGAGGGTTTGCGGTCGGTGGCACAAATCACTCGACCCACTACTCGCCCTGTTTGGCTCGTGGATTTGATTCGTCCACCCGTTTGGCGATGTTCTTGGCTCCCATTTTTCCACAAAGGGCCGAACAAAGCAAGCTACAGTGGTCATAGTGGTTACCAAGTGCTTTGATGACTATGAGGGGCTATGTCCTTGTGGGGTGGAGTGCGAAGCCCAAATGATCTCCTCTTTGCAAACTGGCCTCCCAAAGAAGTCGTCAGAAGCAGCCAAAAACATAGTGAAAATCTAGCCTGTCTTAGCTCTGTGGCGTTCACTAACTGGTCTCCGGGTGTCGTTGCTCCACCAAGCGCAGCAGCCCTGGTGGGGTGCTCTCTGTCTCCTCAACGCATGTCCGACCGGAGTACCTTCGAAATCCCGCATCCTACGCAGGTTCCAAAGATATAAACCCTGGTAACACCAATTACTTACCAGTTTCAGTATATTAAACACTGGTACCTGGATGTAACTGGTAACTAGAGTCACTCCAAATGGAAGAACGTCCTGCGTCCAACCTTGGGAGCTCTTGGGCCGGTCTGTCAAAGGAAGAGTGGATACACCACACTTCTGCTCTTATCATATACAACTTTGATCCATTTTGGGGACCTCATTCTTGGGACTACATCACTGAACAAGCGCAACACAGGAATGAATGTCCCCAAATGTTGCCTATACTGGTGCCTATATAATGAAACTTTGCAAGTGCTATCAAGCATTGATTGATTGTTTCAACTGTTGTTGGCTGTTATGTTGGCAAAATGTCAAGCATGTCTAAGAACCTAAAGAACATCTAAGAACAATCGTTCTAGCCCCTTTGTCTTCACAAGTTCCTGGCTGACCATTGCATAGTACAATGCAGCCGTGGAGCAAGGTTGTCCTTGCTCGACTCTTGGCAATCTTAGCATGTCAAAAACAGAAAGACTGTGATCATCCCTCCATCACACCCCAATATACAGGATGCAAAACTGATGCAAATTGGACTGAGGCAGAAATCTTTGCCCCAGGGCTTCCAGGATCTTCTAGGTACAGTATGTATTGAATTTGTTTAACGTTTCGTGTGGAAAAAATATGTTCTGCCACCCCCTCAACTCGCTCCTGCGACGGCTTGTTCTTGCATGCAGTCTGCCACATGCACGGAGACCAGGACCGGGCATGCAGGGTGGCAACCCACGCTGGCGAGCCCACAGAATCAAGCACATGCTGAGCAAGTCTCCGAGCTTCCGAATGGCTTTCCAACAAGCATGTGGTCACAGTGGTTGAATCGGTTGAATTGGGTTTCGCACTGCAAGTGATTAAAAGAAAGTGTATCTATATATATATCATATACACTACCAAAAGGCTGTTGAACAAAACTTCACAAGGGATAGCATGCTGACACACAAGCTTTCCACATTCGATTTCCTCTCTCTGGCATCTTTTGGCCATACGTCGTCATCTGGAGCGCAACGAACCTGCATGTATTGACCTGAAGTTCACTCAGTATCGCAACTGCAGCATGCGTCTCATAGCAGTTCCTTGGCTGTGTGGGGACGAGCCATTAAGACCGTGGCGCAACTAGAGGAGCTCCAAACACCAAGGATTTGGGAGTTGATTGGGAGCGGTTCGTGTAGCCTGCATTGAGCCACTAATTGTGGCTCGGCAAGCTTCTCACAGGCTTCAGCTGCCACACAAGCTCCCGCAAGCTTTCCAGCCCCTGTGGCATCCTCGGTGGCGTAGCATTCAACGATTCAACGGCCAAGAAACTGATTTGTAAGGCCCTGGTTGCTCTAGCATCTGCTCTGGCCATCGTTTCTGGGACTCACAGCCGGTGTAAAAACAGCCGCCCGGCCCTTTCCGGTATTTTTCGAGAGTGACCATGGGCGGCAGTACAGCAATTATTGTCTTCTGAGTAAATGATTGTCTCAGGTTCCAAATGCATGGATACCCATTCCTTAACAGCCTGATCAGTGCCTGAGGCATCCTGGAATTCAAACATAGGCTGATATTTTGCATGCAATCTTATAATCTTTTCGCGCCTCCAGCAATCGCAGGGGCCAAATCCAGAACTTCTGAGCAGCACACGCAGAGGACATCGCTGCGACATCGGGACGAAGCGCCCAACTGGCGCGAGCTCGCTCTGGGTCTGTGAGTCTGTTAAGTGAGTCTGTTAACATGTACCGATTCCGGGGATGTGCGAGCCACGCCCACGCTGTGAAAGGATTGGAAAGAACAACAACAAAAACAGGCAGCTCTAGCCCCACCTTCCAGCTTGCTGAAGAATCTCCAAGGCATTGGCCCAAGCTCCGGCGTTGGCGCAAGCATGCAAAGCAGCACCCAAGGTTGCATCACTTCGATAATGACTCAGTAGATGCACTGCCCAAACGCACTGGCCTCCAGTACGGCATGTTGCAAAAGCTGTGCGGTGGGCGATTTGCTATGGCCCTATGGCTAGGATGAAACAAGTGTTTGTCTTGCACCAAGCTTGTAGTGGTTTAAAAAGTCCTCAGCCAGCATTTCCTGACTATATCTTCTACTGTACTGATTCACATCCGCTAGCTATTCCTGGACTGTTTCACCCCGCGAAACATGAAGGAGGTTGATGTGCTGCCCCTCCCTGTATCCTGCCGGTTCGGGGCTCCCTGGACTGCACGTTTTACATCTGGTTGTGAGCAACCGAAAAATCCAGAAAAATGACACCATGGTTTTAGTGACAGGTGTGCAGGTCTAACAATGTTTTTTTGATGCTTTTTGAATGATTTTGAATGTATATACTTGAGTTTCCTGTGGTCAGGTCATATCAGGTGAATCAGGAAAACAGTTCGATTCTAGATGTATGCTCTATACTCACCCAACTGGCGGCTTTGCTTTCGGCTTTTTTCCAGCTCGAGCCATGTGCGAAATGCGACCGGCTCCTCCTTCGTCCAATGTTGTATCGCCCTGGCCGACGGCGGATCCATGGGCTCCAGCCCGGCCAACCGCTCTCGGAACGCGAACGGCACGCGGCTCGTGGCCGAAAGCGGCTCCGCGCGCGGCGGCCACGGCGTCGAGAGACGGTAGCGAAAAAAGGCAGTGACGCGCGTGGGGCGCGTGGGGCGCGCGGGTGCATGGACGGTTGGAGAGTTCATTGGAGCTGTGTGAGCTGGCATACCTCATATCATTCACGACCGGATGCCCCTGCTGTGTGAGATGAATCCGAATCTGATGCTTTCGACCTGTCCGTATCGACGCGAGTAGCAGGGTGAAAACTCCACCAGAAGGGTCTTGAAGGTGTGCGCAAGGAAGAAAGCAAGATTCAGCTGGAAAACCATCTTCAGATGCCAAGCTTCCAAAGCCTTGCCTTGGGCGAATTGGTGTCGTCACCTTGTGCAATTCTCGTTTCATGAGGCCGTGGCAAAGGATCACATACTCCCGCTCAACCGTCAGGGTCTCTTGCTGCATCCGGAGGGTGAAGTACGCTTGGTACGACAAAGCAGCCAGTACAACTCCACCTGAGGGTACGTCCAAACGACCAAGAAATCCCAATCCACATGCCAAGTCCTTGGAATCTGCGGTGCACTGTGGCGGGACCAAATGAGGTCTCTAGCACTACACGTATCTTTACATAGTGTTTGGAGAGATTCGATACGTTTGATAGGATCTAGGATGCGCCCCAAAAATTGAATGGTCCTAAAAGATTTGTGGGTCATGGACTTTGTGTGAGAAGCTTGCACTGCCTGACATAAAATGACATAAGACATGAGTATCATGGAAGTGGAAAGCATGGGAAAACCCGTTTGTAAAGGAACATGGTCGTAATTCAAGGGGCCATGTCGTTCCTCCATTTTCCACCTTCGATTCTTTCAGGGAGACTTCCACCAAAACAGCTCAATCACAGCTCCAGGAAGCTCTCAGGACTGGCCGATGTGCAAAGTGCTGCTGCAAAAAGCTGGACATCTTGGGAACATCTGCAGATCTTTCCGCATCCCGACCGCCATCAATTTCCCAGCCTGGAGGTTTCAGGAGGAAGACCAATCCTGGGAGAGAACATAAGATCTTCGGCGCTTCAGATCCTTCAGCTATTCCCTCTTGTCCCACCTCTCTCACGCCTTGAGCTCCCAATGGCACCAGGGATGTGGATAGTGAAGACGAAAAATCCCAGCTGGTGCCCACGTGTTGCAACAGTGCCAACACCTCTGGCAGTACCTCGATCCGCGCGCGGTGCTGACGATCTGCCGCCATCTGGCCACCCGCGAAGGAGAGCGACCAGGTGAGTTGCAGCAAGGGATTGATGAGCTCACGAAAGGCCTCAACTCGACTGACTGACCCATCGCCATTTGGAAGGCTGGGCCAGGCAGTCCAATAGGCTGGGAGGAGTTGGTGGGCGTGCTCCACTGAGTCAAGTAGGAGAGATGTCTCAAAGCGTAAAGTCACCCAAGACCATGCGATGGATGCTAGCCCTCGTAGGTTCAGCTCGTACAGGTGCAAACTCGCAGTGACTGCAGAGGACCAAGCAGGGAACACAAACCGCTGGGCGGCCATCGCCCAGGAAATGGCGGCAAGCTCAGTTGCGCCAAACTCTTCCTTGCGACCCACAGCCAGGTGAGCAAGGGACTGCCATAAAGGTGCGGCTATAGAATCTGCAGCACCAGAAGTAGCCAAGGCCCAAAACACATTAGCCAGCTCTTGAGGTTGGAAGCTGTGGTCCCTGCAACATCCAAGAGCAGCACGCTCCACCCGTCTCCAAAAACCAATCTCCCTGACGATCAGCGTGGCCAAAGACCACGCAGCAGCAGCGAGGACTTTGCTCCCGTACACTTGAGGCACACGTGTGGCCTGCCAAACGAGGCGATGTATCACATTCTGGAGCCGCTGCCGACCTGCAAGCCTTTGAGCTGCCAAAGCCCAAACAACAGCAGCTAGTTCCTCTGGCCGAAGCTCTCTGATCCGTTGAGAAGCCACCAGCGCCGCATCCTCCTGAAGAGGGCATCCTGCCAATGTGAGCTGGGATGTGGCCCAAACGATGTTCGCAGCTGACTGAGTTGACGCAGAAAACAAAAGCCGCTTGTCCTGAATAGCATGGATTAGGGGGATTTGCTGCTGCCGAACTACTGCGCAGGACCACACAACATTTGATAAGCCTTGTGCATCCAATTCCGGCAACCTGAACAAGGCTCTGTCAGCCAACAACTGGAAGATCCGAGTTGAAACTGAATCTCGTGGAAGTTTGGCCAACGACCACATCACCATAGAAACACCCGGTACGTCCAACTCAGAAGCTCTCTGCAGCATATGGTCCAAGAACAAAGTGTAATCCTCATCCTTAATCGTGCGTGGATCGCGATCGACCAGGCGTGCGATCGACCATGCCACCAGTGACAGCTGAAGCGGAGTAGTCAAAGAGAGATCCTGCACCAAGATCTGAAAAGCCGCAGCACCGCGCGCACTGCGGTTGGTGACGAGGTTGCCCTTGGCAGCTTGATGAAGCTGGGTGACCGCTTGCCTCGAACGCTCCCGTGCGGTGGACACCGCGCGTGGAGCGGCCGAGGGTCGCATCGTGGACACGGACCCCCAACCCCAGGCCACGGAGTTCAGATCTCATGGCAAACTCAGCGCTTCTCACCATGGGAGGCCCTCAAACCGACGAATACACCTGGACAATGTCCTGGCGCAAAACGCTTCTCCAAAGTGATGTCATGCCATTTCCCTGCGCGTCTCAAAACGAATGCCAACTGCGTTTTCCTGCCAACTGTGTACTCTCGGTGTGAAACGAGAAGAAATGTGACACGAGGAAGTGAAACGATGTGTTCTCTCTGCTCTCTCAGTCTCAATGTCCCGATCACGTACTTGGACCAAACACGACAGGATCCGGGGAGAACCATGGGACCATGATGTACGTTACTCCTCCGCTTCTGACCATGTTCGTTACTCTTCCGTTCGCAGCTGAACGGTGGTCCGAGAAAGCGACCAACTCGATCGCCGCACGACCATCGATGCGGTTCACATCAGTCGGCACACATCGAAACGCAACGACTTCGGGTTCACGTAACAGTCTCACACCAATGACGCAAGCGTCTCGTCAGATTAGGTATATACTGGTGCGCAATCTGGAAACAATTCAAACATTCTCACTCGCGGGAAAGGGGAAACCCACCAACAAACTCTCAATCATCATGATCGTTGTCCAGGCCGAGTGATGATGACTCCTAGATCCACCAGAAGTTCCAGGCTGGTGACCGTCACTCGCCGGCAGCTGAGAATATCTGGCAAGTGTCATGAAAAACCGATGAAAAGCACGTGAAGCTACTGGGGTGGCACCTCTCCAAGTACCGATGCTTGAACAAGCCGCTTCATGTCGACCCATTGCATGAGACATGCCTCAAGTGGATACATGCCGACGAAACCATCACATGGAAGTGGATGGCATGGTTCCCTGGAAGACTACTTTTCTACACGTTCGTTCAAGAACAAAGATTTTCCACTTCCATGCGATGTGTTCGTCGGAGTGTAGCTGAAACATTCAAGCACCACACCACATATATCACCGCATCTGTGTACCAGTTGTCACACATCCGCCTCCTCGTGCACAAGCATTGATGGCACTGACTATGGCAGCGCCACTGCTTCCAGTGAAGGAACAGCGCTCGAGCAGTTCCAGTGCCAGTTCCCATTCAGCTCCTTGGGCACATGCGGAGATGGCAGCGGCACTGGTGACCTTGCCGGGAGGCGAATCGTTCGAGTGAAGGGCGGCATGGCCGGGCATGGCTGGGGAAAAGAAGGAAGTATTTGTAGTGAGCTACCTAGTTTGGGAGATTCGAGATCGAAAGAGAAAGGAAAATCACCACCGTGAACGAAAGAACAGCATCCAAAAACGGACCACAAGGGTCTCAGGTCCAATCATGCAACAACCCATGCTAACCCTGAATTGGACACCAATAATCCTGGCTCACATCCGGGCCAACATTCCCAACCAATAAATGCAATGGTGATCCTCACCAATCTTCATCAAACTCCATCTGACCAGCGGCCGCTTCTTGTGGTGCAACCTTGAAAATCTCCAGCGCCCTCGGCCAATGACTTCCTGACGAGACAAAACATTTTAGTGCCACTTCAACAGAAAGCTGGTTGAAAGTTGAAAGTGCAACCATCCCAAAAAAAATGTGTCATTCAAGTTACACATAAACATATCAAATTATGGATGTTGCGACCAATACAACACCGCAAACATAGTCCAAACCCACCAGCAAAAGGAACAGGTCCTCTGTCGCAGGTGCTCATCACGGCGCTGAAGGTCACGTCATCTGCGCGCTGCGACGTAACTTCTTTCGTTTGCCAAAGAAGCTCCAAAGCGAGTGGCCAGTCACTAGCTGAGCATGCGCAAATGGAACCTGCTCACGGCAGGTCTGAACAGTCCACTCATTGTCCCACCATTCACTATATTACTAGTAGCAAGTGCATCCCTACTGGTAACACGAAGCTACTAGTAAAAGAACAAACACAAAACTCATCAAATATGTAGTAATTATGTATACACAAAATAACATGGAAAGCAGCATGACCACGAACAAACAAGTGTATGTATGCATATAATATGTAAATGTACATGTATATAATATATATATATGCCCCAATGGGGAACAACACTCAGGGAAGGAAAATACCACAAGTAGAGGTACGAGTACATCCAATTTGGGCAACTTGCGACATGGGACCGCAAAGCATCAACATATTCAAAGCAGCGGCTCGCCTATTTCTTTCAAAAGGGATTCTAGCGGAAACTTTACAATTTAAGAAGCGCACATAGCCCAGAAAACTGCTTGATTCTTGACCGATACAACTGCGTGAACTAAACTCAACAGTAACCGCTATTGGTCTGACCGGACCAAGAACAAGTTCCGAACGCCATCCTTTTCACAATACCAAAGAGCTGTTTAGGGTGACCAAGCTTGGCTGTAAGGCTCTTCCTTCCATAGCTGCCAGCAATTCCATTGCGATGCTTGTCCGGCCACGGCACGCACTGATGGTGCTGTTGAAGCTCACCTGGGAACTGCAGCGGCCACCGGCAAATACCAAGAACCAACAATATTATGAGCAAGTAACCGAGCAACCCTTCACCGTTCAATTGGGGATTGTCAAATGCTACCATGACCTCCTGATGTAGGGTCAAAGTATGGATAAGTAAGCTACTGTATTGATGCTCCGTCCATGTGGTGTTCAATTTTATCTTCTACACTATATGTTTCTTTTGGCATCCCAAGACTCCCAAAAATGCACCCATCTCTTAGATCCAACATTTTGAGGGCCGACCGAGTAGAAGGTCACAGCGAGCACGATTGGCCTGCCCTAGACGCGTCTCAGGCACGACGTCCGCCTTCGGGAAGCTCGACAAGAGCCAAAGCGCCAATTGCCATTGCCTGCTTTGGGCACAAGTGCTCCTCGCTGCCGGGTTCAGGTATGCACAGGTAGACTGACTGAAAAAAACGATGTACAGGAATCCACACCCAATGAATCTAGGTGTAATGTGGTCTAACAAGGTCTAAACATACATATAAAAATTAATATATCAACAAATGGTAAAAGGTCGACGCCCTGGCTCAAGATTGGATTTTGATGAGATAGTGTGTGCATCCACACCGAAATAAACCAAGAGTCAGCATGCTGTTGCAAACGATGTTGTTTGCCTTCAGCTGTACCTTCTCCATCTGAGCCAGCATGTTGAGAGAGTCCACCCAGCAGCTACTTCATTCGAACGTAAGCATTGAAGCGCCAAAGGTCATGGTCGATGGGCTTAATGTCCCTGTTAACATTGATGTCACCACGTCCATGGAAATCCTTGGAAAATAGAGAAGCAAGCTGTGAGATGACGGAATGCTGTGTCTGAAGGGGGTGACAAGCACACAAACGGTACGAAAAGGGGACACACAAACAACATGGAAGCAAACATCACGAAAAACAAACCAGCAGCAACAAGAACTGACACACGTCCCTCCGTGGCAAGCCTCCTCCACAAATAATGCGAAGCGCAAGCGGCTAGCAAAGCATTGCAAGCAGGAATGCTCCTGGAAATGCAATATCTCCCCCAACATTGTGTGTTGCCCAATGGGCGGGACAATCTTTCAGTGCAACTGGAAATGCTTTATCATGCTTGCCTGCTATGCACTGTGCTCAGCAAGATTCTGAGCAACAGTGGTTGGCTCATCCCTTTGAAACTATCTGGAATCTTCATGTCCACAATGTCGGGTGATTTGCAGCACTGTGCCGGCATGATGTGAAACCAACCATCAAGCCCAAGAACGTGAGAATGTCCGCCGCCAATCTATAATCTATATATACGTATATAAATAAATAAATATATATATATATATAATCATTTTTGCAAAAGTACGCAAGCAAAACCTTTCTTTCCTTGTGAGGCTCAGGAAGGACTATTCTCAAACTGTTGCTTCAACTGTGCTCCGGTGCCTGGCCACTTCAGCCAGCACGAGACCCTGGCGCCAGCGCGTTTCCGCGGCCTCCGCGGAGGCCTCCGGTTCCTCCGCGTTTCGCCCGGCACTGATGGTGCTGCTGATGCTGTAGGCATCTGCCTCAAAAGGGCGGAAGTCCGTCGGACAAAGGCTTTGGTTGAAGGTGAAAGTATGTCGGAGTTGGTCATAGTCTATTCTTGGAAAATGCTTGATCTTTGTGACTCATAAATGAAATAGCGGACAAGAAACATGTTCTTGTAGACTTGGCTTCTGCCAAGGGTTCGTGCTATGCTGACTAGATTAATGGTGAGACTGAGGCTGAGGTACTCCTTGTCACTCCACCTGTAGATGGCGGTGGAGATACTTTAACATCTTCCTGGTAGGGACCAATACCCCAAAAATGAACAGTCACCACTGACTCCGAAACGACAAACACTATCAAGTCATCTCTACACTCTACGTCATACCACCCGGTTCAAGTTGGGCTGTGTCTAGAACTCCAGTGAGCACCTCAAAAGAAAGGTGGTGTAGCTGTTGGCGCCAACACCCTAAGCATCCCTAAGCCCAAAGAGATCGCATTAGTCCCTGAGCAAAAACCATGGCCGCTGGGCCCACCATGGGGTCACCTGGCTGGTCTACTGTACTCTTCATGAACAACTCCAAGTGGGCCATGCTATTCTCCACGTCAATCCATACACGCACAAACATACACCAACTGTGAAACGTCCGGGGTTGCACTCTCACTATGCCCGTGCGATCATCCGCGAAAACCCCATCTCCGGCCTCAAAGCCTTGGTGCTTCAAGTGCTCCATGGTCAGCCAAGCGAAATGCCAGCCACCGCCTGTTGCACTGCTACCTGTGTCCCAAGGATTCACAAAACAACCAAAAAACAATTCGGGTCAAGTCAGATTTGCGGTGGTTGATGACTTCTGCGGTCGGAAAAGGCAAGACACACACACACACACACACACACGAACACCTACACACAATCAAGGAAATAAGGAACAGCCTGGCGCATTCTAGCGCAGCCAAACGACAAAAGGCGTTGTAGGTGATCAAATTCGGCATGCTCTCTTGCCTGCACCATGTCAGTATGCCCAGTTGGTCGTCATATTTGTCATCACGGGGGGCTTGAGGTTTGCACCAACTAATTCCAAATAATACGAGCAGTTGATCACAGCAGTGATCACCAAGTGCTGTGTCATTATGTGGTCACACAAGGAAACAACCAACAGAGAAGCATACCTGAACCAACCTGAGCCCAAACCATGCGCATTGATATCAAGTGTTCCTCCTAAAATCCCCTAAAGGACATGGGACTGTTGGTGACATGTCCATCAACTACATGGACCCCCACGTTCCAATCTGAGCATTGCGTCACGAGGTGGGCCTTGTATGATTTTACTGTTCACTCGCTCTGTTTAACTTGCATTGTCTGTTAGGAGTCATATGGCAAGAAGGGCCAAATGAACACCTTCGGTTGGGGCTGCAAGACTGCCAAGCCGACCAATGGGTCAAACATTCTATTTGCTGGAAAGGGGCCAACGGTTGAAGCAGTGTATCATTTCCAAGGGCTCACTTTGCTCCTGGGATGCTGGCGGTGCCTCTTCATGCAAGTCAGCATGTTGAGCGCTCGCGGCCACTCTACGCGGCCGCCCATCGTCGTGGTGTATGTGATCGTATCTGGCTGTAGCTGCTGGCTCCGTAGTCCTGACAAGGGATATGAACCAAGCACTAACCGCTCGGCACCAAGTCAAAGCAGCCGAGGGCCCGTGAAGAAAGAGAAGGACAGCTGATGACAGTTTTTGGAGATGACATGCAAGGTCTGAGAGTCTGAGAAGGGGTCAGTATCTCAACAGGGTTTACCAGCATGGGCTGGGGTCTTCCGGCTGAACCCTCCGCTCCTTCAGCACCATTGATGCTCCATTCCCACTTGTGGAAGCGTGCGAACGCGGAGAGGCTGCTATTCACTGCTGCTGTGCTGGTGGAGCTTAAGAATGCCAATGACAAAAGCCACCCTTGCGACGCACCAAGAAAGCTTAATAGAACTTGACACCCAGTGACTTTGATACCTATTGACCAGTCAAGGCAACTTAGCAAGAAGGCCGCAAGACTGGTTGACACAGCTGGCTCCCAGGCCTTCAAACCTGTGAAACCTTGCCTCTGTGGCCACCCGCATTCCGCGCCGCGCGTGTTGCAATGCTATGGCCTGGGAGGAAGGCGATTTGGGGAATTCCGCCAAAAACCAGTGAAACGGCTGCACAAGCAACCACTCCTGGAGTGGACATTTGCATGTGTATATATATATATATACATTTGTGGACATCCGCAAAGGGCAAACGAAAGGTCAACCAGGATGGGCAACGAAGGTATTGGGAGAGCGGCACTTCGACGAACAAATGGTGGATATGGACCATAACTCGATGAGAAAAGAATGGTCCAGCAAGTGATCCTTTTCAAGCTCGGAGAAGTTAATGGGTCGCTTTTATGCCGCCCTTTCTCCAGAAAAGTTGGTTTGTTTGAGTCATGCTGAATGCTGAGTCGCTGTAAACGTCTGGCTGCAGTCCCCAAGTTGACATCACCTCCAGCATGTTCACGGTCAAGCGCCAACAGGAAGGGTCGACGAGTTGCATCATGCGGTTGAATCTCGTCACATGGGCCTAGTCGCACAGGTGTAAACTCATAAGCATTACAGTAACTAAAATGACTCAATGAGTTTTAAGCGTCAGTAAGTAGTTGAACCTAGTAAGATCGGCATGTCTCTGTATTTTGTTTTCCTGGTAAAGGCGCCTCAAATTTGAGATCTTCTTGTCAGATCCTTTTATAATTGACAATTTCTGCGTGTTCAGCATGGCAGTGTCAGTATACAGCTCAACTTGTAATCCAAAAATTGCGTGTCAAGGGCCTTGAAGTAAGGCCAACAAAAACATAGTAGTGGATATTGAAAACGCATGAAAGGCAGGAAATGAACTGATGCTAGCAGGACATTTATCTAGACGGCTCTTAAACATGTCAATCAACATTCAACAATTGGGATCCCACCGCATGAACACACAAGCACTCTTCCACCATGAATCATGGCATACGTGTCATAGGTTTCTTGAGGTTTTTGTAATGTTAGATAAGTACTTGTGAGAAACCCCACAATTAAGGTAGCAAAATTTTCCAAAAAATCCAGATCAATTTTGATTTAGTATTCGGACAAAAATGGCCCACGATTAGCAAAATTCCGCAGTCCAGATCCATATTTACAGTATTCACTCGCAAAAAGAGAATGTTGAAGACTCTTTTCATGCACGCAAAGAAGTACATTTCAGCCACAGTGACACCAGAGGGCAATTCCAACTTCCAACTTGAAATTTCAAAAACTGACAAATTCTAATTGAAAACCTTTATGAAAAGCTTCAGTCTTGCAAAGGGTACTACGACGACTACTACTAGTGCTGCTACTAATACTACTACTGTTACATACTATTACCATCACCAAAAGTACTACTACGACGACGACCGACGACGACGACGACTACTACTACGACGACGACTACCACTACCACTACCACTGCTACTACTACTACCACCACTACCACTACCACTACCACTACCACGACCACCACCACCACCACCACGACTACTACTACTACTACTACTACTACTAGTCCTAGTCCTAGTCCTAGTCCTAGTTCAACAACAACTACTACACTAGTACTACTAGTCCTAGTACGACGACGACTACGACTACTGCTGCTACGACGACGACGACGACTACTACTACTGCTACTACCAATACCCCTACCACTACGACTACGACTACTACTACTACGACTACGACAACGACCACGACCACCACGACCACTACGACTACGACTACGACTACGACTACGACTACGACGACTACGACGACTACTACGACTACTACGACTACTACTACTACTACTACTGCAAAGGACGATTATTACGGACCTCTCCGAAAAAGCGCTCCCCGAAACGGACAAAGAACAATTGGCGAGGGGGGGGCCGCCCACTAATACGGATCTAACATTTCTCCAGGCGCTGACAGTGTGTCGGTTCTGGGAATGTGGAGTCCAGTGCTTAGGATGGCTTCTGTCCCCCTGAACTGACCAGTTCCGCCAGCATCCTGCCTGAACTTGTTGATGCGACAGTTCCTCAAAAAGTCTGGCAGCCATTGCCTCCAACACTCAAGTGATCTGAACATGAGCAATTGCCAGGTCATCTGAAGCATTTCTTGTGCCACAAAACCCAATCGTCATGGACTTTGGCATGGTGATCACGTTTCGTGCTCCCTCCAGGATACAGTACATGTCCATTCCTCTTATCGTAGCTCTGCACATATCTCTGACTCTCGAACTATTTCAATTCTTATATATATATATATTTATGTGTGTGTGCATGTCTGTGTGTGTTTTAATGTTTCATGTTTCACCCCACACTTGAGGAGCCCCACACTGGGATGCATGGGAACCCTCCTGTTGCTCCGCCCGTGGGATGAGAACCCTTCGGACCCGCCGAGGGGCGGCACTCGCTGGCTCGCTGCACTCCACCGAGGCCCATGCGTCGCTGGGCACGCTGGGAGTGCGTAGCACTTCGAGGTGCATCTCATGGCGAACCTCGGGCGGGTCGGGCGTGAAGCCGGGTCTCTGGAGCTCGAAGCTTGGCCGGAAAAGCAAACAAAACAAGTCCAAACCTTGGCGGCGTCGCCATTTCTAGGCACCCAACTGGTCTGAGCTTTGGCTTGAACCTGGTAGTTATTGCAACCTCAGACTTGATGTTCCTACAAGGTCGAGTTTAGCTACTGATGTATCTGATGTGTCATTTGCCAGTGATGGCTAGTCTCACAGGGTTCGCTCTTCCGCGGGTGCTACGGTGCTACCTGATCTACCCACAACTCCGTTTGAAGACGTGCCAGGGGTTGGCTTTCCTTCTGCCTTCGCCATGAGATTATATCTGATTATATATTATATCTGTCTAACGATCTGTCTATACCCTTCTGGGCTGCCCATACAGGAGTGCACCTACCACACGTCCGGTCAAAACCATGACGCGCTGCTCTCCAACATGCTTGACGCAAGCGCCCTCGAGCAATTCCACCATGGCAAGGCAGAACAATAAGCGGCCGACACTCTGTTCTGTGCCTGGTCTACCCTCCCGAACTGGCATATCAGAACTGGCATCTAGAATAGGATCTGGTCGGTTTGAGGGAGGGTAAAGCATGTGACTAAACCATAATGATCGCCTGAATCAATGACTGTGATCCTCAAAAGCGTTTGACACTCGTCCGCCAGCTGAAGAAGCATCTTGAAGACTAGCCAGCATAGTGTTTCTATTGAGCTATGCTCAGGAGAAGAAGAACTGAACATCTTGAATATATGTTATCAATGTGTCAATGTGTACATTAAATTGTCATATCATAGCACCATATTTTTGGAATTCCCGCAATGTGACCCTGCTGTGCCACATCAGGACAAATCAGGACAAGCATAGAACATAGGCATAACTTGTACAGCTCTGTTTACTTGATCACTTGTTCTCCATTGCCGCGTGCGTGCTGTGGAAATGAGAGCCAACAAGAGAATTGTTTGAAACGAACTTCTCCAAAGAACCTCGCAATGATCGAATTGTTCTTTTGTGGTATCACAGCGGTCGGGCACCTGCTTCCCCTTTTCACAGGCACTGATTGCGCTGCTGAAAGTGATGACATTTGGGCGTAACTCCTCAGCAAAGGATCAATCTAGCGCAGTCCTAAGATCGTCAACTATGCTGAATCGTGTTGAGACCCAGGTTTGCTTGGCCTTTCAAAGCTGGGGATGTCCTATGACCTAGTTTTGCCTAAGCTGATGTGGTACTTGATGGGTCTTGCCCCAAGATCAAGAAAGCTTGTGTGCGTCATCTGTTGCAAATATATGTTTTTGTGTGCATACTGTATACTACATGTATCTCTTTCTCCAAAAGGGGTGCCAAAGCTGGAGGATCCTCAGTTTCCAGGTGACTGATCAGGAGTGCTTTCTATTGATCTACAGCTTGCATTCAAGGAAGGCTGATATGCACTGCCAAAGCCGAGAAAAGGGCGATTGCCCACGGACAAAAATGGGAGCCCGAACTGCATCGGTCATCCGGTGGAGTGATGCCAAAGCCATTTGCCACTGCTGACCTTTCTCACAGGCACCTCAGCGATGAAGGCTAACGGGAGAACGCAGGACGCTTCAGGACGTCTGATGAGATGGAAAGACATCCTTTCGGTCCCGGAAGCCAAACTGAAAGCATTGGCCCCTCAATCTTTTTGCCTGAGTCGCCTATCATGATAGGCAAACAGCATCAGAATGGGGGCGACGCAGCTTCGATCATAAATATGACCTAAATAATCCTATAATCCTGCATATGTATGTGATTATGAATTTTATATGCGTATGAGGTACGGTCAACTCTATTGCGTGCGGCTGTTGCATCGTCAAATTTGTGAGCCCCCTACCGTTTCCCAATGTATGGGAAATTTGATATGGGGATCTTTATAGGGTCTATGTGTGGGCCTAAGATAGGTGAGGTGATACTTTATTGTTTCCCCTATCGTTTGGCAAGGGTTGGGGAATTATATCACTGCAACACTCGTATACAATTGTAGTGTAGTCATCGTAATATTTATTATTCTTTAAAGGCACTGCGGCACTTCATACGATGATATGCGTGAAATCATCTGAAGGTAGGTCATGTGACCCTTTGGAAAGGATCGGCTTCCGGCAATATGATTGGCCCACCGACTGTGGCCCCAACTAATGAGAGAGCCGTACCTGCGCAAAACAATGCTATGATCGGAAGAAGAAACCCAAAACATGGGCACGGCATTGCATGGGATTGCTCGTGTTCCGACCTACAGCCGGGATCAGGTGGCGTACTGGGGCCAATGCAGGGAGTTGACACATGCAGCATCCGCGACTCCGCGAGCGAGTTTCTGCTGGAGGTCTGTCTCAAATTTGCTTTGTGTGGCCAAAAAGGAGGACAACGAAAGCACCGGGGCGTCGAGCATTCTTTTGGCTGGTCTTCCGCGGAATGTGCCTCCCTGATTTGGACGGGGTGACAATCTAGTGAACTTCCAGCTTCTGACAATCTAGTGACTCTAGTGAACAACCCGATGAGAATTGAAGGGCCTTCAGTGGAAACCCCACTGGCCCAAAGACGTAATTCCAAACATGAGGCCAAGAAAAGCTGCAGGAGAACCACGGGAAAATCATCAAAGTAACATGAACCTTAAAAGCCACCAATCTTACGTAAAACAGTATGCTTACCCGGAATGATGGCATATTCCCATGCTGGCTCAGTCTTCATGAAGGCCTCATGAAAAACCAGGCCAGCCGCTTCCCATCTCTCTTTTTTCGATCGCTTCAAGAGCTGTCGCTCTCGTAGGCCCCCAAAAGGCCACCCCCGCATTCAGTCGGCGCCGCTGTCGAGGCCGCGTCCACCTCCACGTGCTGCCTTGGAGGAGGAGAAGAGACGCGAGCGCCGGTCTAACGAACGCGCCGGTCTAGAGTCCGGGACTTGTGAGATGAAAGACTTTGGTATTGTAGAGTAGGAGCCGTCGCTAAGCTCAAACATGAACCATGACTCGTGATGTGGCGGCTCTCCCCAATGCCTCCATGCAAACCATTTTGTGTGGTGTCAGAGCCAGTTTATTACTGGCGCATGTATATGCATAGAATGACTATATATATATATATTAATATTTATAACTACATATACAGATACATTATCATTAACATTATGAATCGCTGGCATTCGCTGGTCATTCGTTTTCAGGGTCATCAGCATCCACCCCACCCGTGACCACTTCCTTCTCCTGCCCAAAGGCTTCTTGGCCGCCTCGCCTGCCCGTTGTCAGCAAAAAACATGTCCATCTCCCAAAGACTCCATTTGACTGGGACCTACTGGTTGGACGCACATTCTCATGCAGCATTTGTCTTAAGATGTCTTGAGCTTAAGCCTACTGTCCTCATTCCATTGTACAGGAAAAGTTATATGCCACCCTATATTGACCCCTTTTCCACCACCCCTACTCATCAAAAAAGCAGGGCTGCCGGTCCCTTAAGACGTATCTGAAGTTGAGACGTACCTGAAGTTCTGGACTGTGATATGTAGAGGTGCTGACACAAATACATAGACACGAATCATCTGCCACAGTGTCTGCATATTTTTGGGGTTCTGCATTTTGAAGGGCCCAAGACCTCCTTCTCACTGTCTCCTCCATGCAACAAAGGTCTTTCCAATGGTGCCACAAGTATACTTGCTGCATTGTACACGTCACATCTTTGGACACTAAGACTAAGACCTCTCTCTCTCTCTCAAGTCTGACTACCCCGCAGCTGTCGCACAGGTACACTCATAGCCTGTGCTGCACCATTCTGCACCTTCCTCTTAGTTCTTAAACACCAGCTGACCGACCATGATCGACCATATGAATTATTCAAAGCAAGCACTAAGATACAGTCTTTAAGTTGGACAAGCCATCGCTCCCAGATCGAGAAAAAGCACACATCTACCACCCAAACATAGTACAGTATATACATATGCATGTATATACATGTATAGATAGAATTCCGTTGGTCAAGGCTGTCTCCTGCTAGGGAGCTTCCCATCACCGTTCACTTTGAGCACCCAAAACCCGCCAAGATCTATAACGACTTGTTACTGAGCTCAGCTGCCTTGCGTTCTTTGCTAGGAATAGAGACGTGCCATGCGTGGCACATCCTTTTTTGCTCGACTCAGGTTCATCTTGCCCGATCAGGTTCAGGTGTCTCGTCATGTCTCGTCGTTGCTCTCGTTCAGCCTTAAGACTATGCACCTGTTGCTTCATTGCAGCACCTCATCCGACAAACTATCATAAGATTCATAAAGTATCTGGTTGTTAAGGTTCTTCACCCATTCTGACTCTTGACAAGCCACCACCAGAAAGAGAACACCATCTTCTCAACACCGGGTGTCCTTTCGTCCTCGAGCCCCACGTGCCTTCTCCTGCTTCTTCAGGGGCCTTTCGCTTCACCTCATGAAGGGAACTTCTGCCGGATGAGGTATTTACAGTTACTTGCTGCAAACACCAGGAAGAAACAAGGGGGCAATCCTGGGCAATCAACACCATGATTTCCGGCCTTGGCATGATCTATGGAGATTGACATTTTAGAACCATGGGCGGACTCAAACAGCAAGTGAGTGCGATTTTTCTTTTAAGAGGCCTTCCTCATTGGGCGAAGCATTGCAGCAAAGGTTGGCACATCGAGCAATGGATCTTCAGTAGCTACGAGCACCTGAATGTTCATTCAGACGGCACCTGGATGTTCATTTACCGCGAGGGCATTGTTCGGTGCAAAAACCTCATAAGATGTCATAAGCAAGGGTTGCAAACATACGCTCAAAATCCATGGACGGGGACGGATGCCGTTTGGAAGCAAAAAGACGCCGTTTCTTGTAGCTTTCTCACCTCACCACCACAAACAATTGCTGTTTTCCATCTTGTGACAGCAAAAGGCACTGCCTTTGGGTAAAAGCACCGTAAGGGTTTTTTTCCCTGAACAGGGAAAAATTTTGCCATTTCCACAAGAAAAAAACATGTATC